CAGTATTGCCCCCTGTTGTATGTAGTGGCCTCTTATCACGCTTTTGTGTGCCTCCCATCGATCCGTCGGGGATGTTTGCTCTGCTGTGTTAGTTGTCAGGTAGTCCTTGATTTTCTCACCTATTAGGGTTGTGACCTCTAGTTTGGTAAGTAGGTATTCGTTCAATCTCCATTTCGAGGTCGTGGGGCGGTAAAGTGGTGATTTAAGTTTAAGTGAGACTGGGGCGTGGTCTGACCATGTGGCCACTCCAATTGTTACTTCGGACACTAGGGAGAGGTCATAGTGTGTGGTGTAGATGTGGTCTATTCGGGAATAAGAGTTGTGCGGGTGGGAGTAGAAGGTGTAGTTTCTTACGTCTGGGTGGTGGGCCCTCCAGCAGTCCACGAATCGTCGACTCCGGAGTAGGGATTTAACTGTTTGGAGTTGTTGAGTGGGGACGTGGGAGGTGCCCGATGAGTTGTCCCATGATGGGTCAAGAGTTATGTTGAAGTCGCCCCCCAGTATAAGAGTCCCTTCTGCGGATTCTTGAAGTTTGCGAAGTGTCTGTTTGAGGAAGCGGTAGTGTTGTGTGTTTGGGGCATAGATGTTTGCGAATGTGTACTGGTGTCCCGCGATCTTCCCTTTAAGGAATAAGTATCTCCCTTCGTCATCGGTTTTGCATCCCCCCTCCTGGAACGGCACCCACTTGTGGAGAAGTATTGCTGTCCCCCTGGCCTTACCCCCTTGGAAGTCACTGTAGTATCCTTGTGTGTAGTGCTGATTAGTCAGTTTGGGTCTGTTCCCTTTTTTAAAGTGGGTTTCCTGTATCATTACTATAGAGGCCCTTTGTTTGTGGAAGTCTCTCAGTGCTCCCGATCTCTTCTCTGGTTTATTTAGGCCTTTTGCATTGATTGTAAGGATGTGTAGGTGGTCTGGGGTCAGTGCCATCCCGTCACGTCAGGTCGTTGTCGACGGGTGTTGTGAAAATGTCTTTGTCCTGCGTTCCGTTGGTGTGTGTAGTCTCAGGAGGTCTCACAGTCAGCCGTCGGTGTCGGGTTGGGGGGTCAGGTGTTGGGGTTTAGGTAAGGATCAAGGGGTTGAGGTATTGGAGTAGTCTGAGAGGTTCTCAGAGATCTCCGTGGTTTGCGTCACAGTGCGTGACGACTAGGTAGTAGCGTCGGGGAGCGTCAGAGCCCGGCACCACCTGTGGTGTCCGTGCAACGCTCACCTTTCGGGTGACGCCTCGCCTGCTGGGCAGTGGTTGGGTGTCCAGGCGCCTGGCGCGGTGTCCTAGTGGTGTATCTCGTCTCGTGGCTTCCCTATGTGGCTCCTCAGTGATTACTCCGTAGGAGTACGCGTGTGATTCCCCGCCTCGGGGTGTGGTGGTTCTGGGGCTTGCATGTATGAGTGTTTATGCACGTGGTCTGTTTGTTTGTGGTTGGGTTGCGAGACATAAACATTAACAGTGTTATTAACATTTTGGTTTCAAGTCACAACAGGTGAAAACTTAACAATATTCTAACATTTCTCATTTCGATTTTGTGTACCATTTACCTCTGTCCCCCTGCGTCCCAGGTTCCCGTCCGCCCGCCTATCTAGTGTGTTCTTGTGTCTCTTGTGTCTTAGCGCCCTGTTCCCTATATTTATCGGGAGGTGTGGGTTTCCCTGTCGGGGGTGAGAGACAGAGGTTGTTCCCATAGGCGTGGGTCTAACTGGTGTGTTCTTGTCCCCCTGTCACTGTGGCCTTATGGGGTGCGCCCGTCGTATGGTTCCCTGGTGTGTTGAGCTTCCTCTCCCTGGTCTAGAGGTGTGTGACTATTCGGCAGGTGGTTGTAGTTTGGTCAGCTCGGTTTTGTCGCTTCCCATTTATCTCGGGTGCGGGGTCGGAGCCCCCACCCCGGGCGCGCCCCGCCGGCGGAGCCCCCCGCCTGCTCCCCGTGGTTCATTACAGCACGGCTAGGCCCCGGCGGCCGGGCGCGGCCGGGGGGCGGGCACCCCCCCCCGATCCCTCTTACTGTTGTGTTGGTACTAAGAGATTGGGTCCCTGATACTTCCCCCCATCCCTAGTGTGAGTGCGTTTAGTCCATGGGTGGCCCGGCAGGCCTGCGGGTACTGCATGCTCAAGCGTCTGCGCCGATCTTGCTGCTTGGGTCTCAGGGTTCAGTGTATCTCTTTATGTCTCTTGGCCTGTATATCCGTGTAGGGTCTTAGTGAGTGTGTTGCCCCTTGGGCTATAAACTTGCGGTTTTGAGAGTTTCGGCGGTGCCAGTTCCATGGGTTCTGGTCAGGGGCGGACAGTGTCTGTCCAGTTCATTGCTGGGCCGTGTGGTTTCCCGGCAGGGTGGACAGGTAGTGTGCGTCCTTCTACATGTTGGTGCCCGTAGGGCGCGTCGTCTGTTGTCTCATTCTTCTGGGTCTGGGGGTTTGTTGCGGCTGGCGTTGGACCTCCGGTGAGAAGACGTAGAAGGCCATTGGATCTGGCCAGGTCATATGTATCGTTGGGAGTTGTAGTTCTCTCATCAGGTCTAACAGGTCTCCCTCGCTCTTCACTGTGAAGGGGCCATTGCTTGTGGTGACTTGTAGTCCGGTGGGGAAATTCCATCTGTATCTGATCTTGTTAGTCTGCAATGTCCGCGTGAGTGGGCGCAGGGCTCTTCGGTACGCCAGCGTTGCAGGGGAAAGGTCTGGATACAGTTGGATCTCAGCGTCATTGTGGATGATTTGGCTCTGAACCCTGGCGCTCTTCAGGATATCCTCCTTCACTTGGAAGTGTGTCAGACAGCATATTACATCTCTAGGAGGGGAGTCAGATGGGCCCCTGGGTCTGAGTGCTCTGTGCGCCCTTACAAATTCGATGGGCGCCGTGTTCGGCCTTTGCAGGAGGGCATTAAAGATTTCCGTGAGCGTGTCCTTTATTGGGGTAGTCTGGTCGCATTCTTCTGGTAGCCCCCGAACTCTGATGTTTTGACGTCTCGCTCGGTTGTCTAGGTCCTCTAAATGGAGGGCCATTTAGCGCAATTGTGTTTCTTGCCGCTTTATGGTGCTCGTGGTGGCGTTTTGCGCCGACATCACGTGGTCGCAATCTGCCTCCACCTGGGCCAGTTTGTGATGAATCCCCTGCATGTCTTCCCTCAGGGCCTGGAGCTCCCCAGTGATAGATTTATGGAGGGCGGCATTGGCCTCCTTCAGGTCATTTTTTGTGGGTAGGTTGTTTAACAGAGTTACCCAGTCCAGCTGGGGTAGGGGGTTGTCAGGAGGATTTGGTACCTGATCGTGGTGTCCGTCTCTGGGTGAGGTCGGGCGGCCTGGGCCCAGGCTTGCTGTGTCACCTGAGGCCTGGGGAGCTTGGTCGGCCTGTGTTGTGAGGTACTGATGCATGCCGGCTGGCTGTGACCCTCTCGGCATGCTGGCGACCGGTGCAGCCTGTTGGGGCTTGTTTGTTTTGCCCATTTTTGCGGGTATGAAGCTGGTTAGGCGGGATTGTGAGCGGAGCCGGTCGGGAGCTCGTGTATCACGCCGCCATTTCGTCCGGCGCCCAAGCCACGCCCCCTAATTTATATAATTCAATATAGAGATCTTGTATCTTTGCACCTTCTTTTTTTTTCTTAAGTTTATTGAGCATTATACAGTGTCCCCTTATTACTGCTTTAAATGAACACCATAAAATATCATTCTCCACTAATCCATTATTATTCTCTTCAAAATAACAGATCGTCATTTTATCTATATAGTCTTTATGTTCCTTACTTAATAACAATGATTCATCTAACCTCCAAGTTATATTCTTGTTGTTCTTTAATCTATTACTATTTAGTTCCAGGCACACACTATCATGATCTGACCATATTACTGGTTTAATTTCTATTTTAACTGTTTTTTCTATTAATTTTAAATCTCCAAATATAAGGTCTATTTGCGAGTATGAATTATGATGCCAGGAGTAGAACGTAAATTCTTTCACTGCGGGATTGTTAAGTCTCCATATATCAAATAGACCTTCTTTTTTCATCAAGTTATTAAAAATCCTTGCGTTCTTTAAAACTTGCTTGTCCCAAATAGATTGTTTTTCCGAGAACTTATCTAGTAGGGGATCTTGTATACTATTAAAATCCCCTGCATATATCTTTAATCCTACTCCTACATTCTCAACCTTATTTAATACTTTTCTCAATAGACCTATAGGATTTTTATTAGGCAGATAAACATTAATTAGAGTGAAGAGTTCCTCATTAATTGTGGCTATTAATATGATAAATCTTCCCTCCAAATCTATTTCCATAAATTTTATATTTATTTTTAAATCTCTTGCGAAAAATATTGCAACTCCTCCCTTTTTCCCCTCCTCTCTAGAGGAACAGATTTTTAAAGGAAAAGAACTACTGGTCCATCTCTTTTCATCCTGTTTACGCCAATGTGTCTCTTGGACCATCGCGATTTGAACATGTTCCTTTTTTAGGTACTCTTGAAAGGCTAGTCTTTTTTGAGGAATATTTAAGCCCTGAATATTTAGCGTTATTAATTTAACCATTGTGGTCAGGGAAGAAGGCCGTATTTATGTGGACCTATACCTCTAATCATTAGTCTAATATACTAAGTCGGTTGTAGTGTGCCGAAACCGACGAACGGGTCAGCCTGTAAATAAAGAGGGCCAACCAATTAATTGATTCCTTTTGTGGAGTGGTGGGTGGGGCAACAGGAAGTGACCAAGCACTGTCAGCAAGGTATGGAGGTAAGTAGTGGGTTTATATAGGCCGGTTGCAACCCCTCCCACAACTCCAGGCTCCGCCTTCCCATTTGTGGTCAGGGAAGAAGGCCGTATTTATGTGGACCTATACCTCTAATCATTAGTCTAATATACTAAGTCGGTTGTAGTGTGCCGAAACCGACGAACGGGTCAGCCTGTAAATAAAGAGGGCAAAAGAGAAGTATCAGTTCCACACTTAATACGTATACACATACATTATTACCCGAGCTTCCCTACTTTGCCAATTGTTTAAAAGCTTGTCTCAACTCTTTCTCAGGTTGAGGTATGTAACGGTAATATGAACTGGTACGTTTTGGCTGGAGGTTGATGTTGCCGCTCCGATACGAAAGGAGTGGCCTGTATATGCCGTGGGATCGTACCCGATTCTTGTACATAATAATCTCACGTATTTGACAAATTTTGATGTAGTCAGGGGTTGACTGTGTATTGTGAGGAGAGGAGCTTGTTTGGGTTGATAAGCCATACCTGCCATGTATTTGTCGAATAGTTGTACGGGGCACCAATGATTGCCGGTTGGGTAAAATTGAATGTCAAGGTGCGGACCCATTTGATTCATTTGAATGTCTTAATGTCAATGTGTAGTGATCACCTATTATGTTTATGTGTGACACACACAGTATATTTCCCTTATTGTTGATGTTGCTTAAGGTGAGTTCGTTGGGACGCATAAAATGCCAGGTATATGGCTGTTTTGAGTGTGTTATTGGTGTGATTATCAAAGGGTTTGGTATCTAACATGTCAGACAATGCCCTGAATTTCTCTGCGTCAATTGGTAGCCATCTAGTAGGTTTTAGGTTTTCTAGGCGTTGGATGCCTTTTAGCATATTTTAATGGGGTGTGCTGATAGGAAGTTTTTTATACTGGAATATGTGTTGCTTACATGATGCTGTATTCCAGTTAAATAGAGTTTTATGGTGTTGTGTGCCAGTTTCAAGTTGAGATGGCAAAAAGAGGTGAAAGCCACCATAGTATCTAACCTATAAGGATTCGTAATGATGTATTCTGAAACAAATTTGTTGAATAACATTAAGGCTCGGTTGTACATGCGTCTGGTGTTTGGGGAAAGTGAGGCCTGTGCTAGTGCCCTCCCGTGCTCCATGAGTAATTTTAGTCCAGGATGAGGTCTCTGAACAGCGGCGCCTTTCTTGGCTGTTCCTCTGCTGTTGGGTGTAGCTGTCTGAAAACCTGTAATTTTGAACAGGATAGTGTGTCAGCTGCTGAATTATGGTGACCTGGCACGTGTATGCAAGTCAGGAAAAAAAAAATTTTGTGTGGCTGCCAACCATGTGAGTCTCCTGACCAGGTTCATGATGGTTAGTGAAGAAGACCTGCCTTTGTTCAGAATCTCGCAAGCCGCCATGTGGTCAGAGTAGCATTTGACAGCTTTGCCTCCCCATAAGTGGCCCCAGACTTTAGCTGCTGCCACTATGGGGTAGATCTCAAACAGTGCCGAAGTCTTTGTGAAAGTAGGTAATCCTAGTGCTTTGCTAGGCCAAGCGTCCCTCAACCACCTGTCTTCGAAGATGGCTGTGAAACCTGCGTAACCTGCAGCATCCGTCCATAACACAGGGGAGTTTAATGTCAACGGTGGTATGAACAAGTTTCTCCCATTCCAGTCCGACAGGAAATGGTACCACCTGGTCAGATGCGCCCTAGCCTGAATGTTCAGTGTAACCCTGCTGTTGTTGTTGGGTAAGTTGGGTAACAAACCGAGTAGACGTGAGATGAAAGCTCGTCTCATGGCGAAGTTGTTGATGATATGCCATGTGCTTAGTTGTCTGAGTAACAATGGATTGATGACCCTGACCATGATTTACCCCATTCCACAGGAGCTGCTTTTAGTGGGGAAAGAATTGCCTATTTTTATGTCATGTAAGTGCCAGTGTGTAGGGTAGATGGTAGCCATTTACTGTGTTGATGATATTGGTCTTACTTAACCAAGCTTCAACCCATGCTTGAGTGATAGCTGTAAAGGTAGATCAATGGTGTGTATAGTAAGGAAACTCTTCGGAGGGTATGAGGGAGTTGAGACTTGGGGTAGCGAAGGTGTGTGGTGCCAATAAGTCTATGGTTAGTCTTTGTTTAAGGGAAGATTCCCTTGTGACAATACCAATGTGTTTGTGTTTGGCGCCATGCTGTAAATGGTGGAGATTGGAAAACCCAAGTAAAAACCCCTCTGTTATTCTTGGCTATGAGTGTGTTTACAGCCGATGGTTCTGTGTGCTGACTGTAAGTGAGGACATGCTATATTCCTTGAAGGTGTATGTATGATACCTGTATGGGAGCCCTTTGAAGCTCCGGAGCTTTAGTAAATCTACTACAAGTCTGGAAGGGTGATGAGTTAGTAGTGTTGAAAATGGATTGGTGTGTACAGATGGTGAGTACGTTATTTGTAAGTTGTATTGGGACACATGGTTTGTCATGTGCCCTGAATGATTTGAACGTATATGCAACATTCTATATGCAATGCAACGACTCATACCAATTGTCTCTGGTAGTTCAGAGGTGCTGGTACCTGGAGCCTGAGAGTGCTCGTCCATTTGTTTGGGAGAAAATCCCTTCTGTGAGGACCTGACCCGTGCAACTGATGCCTGGCGTAACGGGTAGGTCGACTTACGGTTTGTGAGCCACTTGGACACCATCCACAGCGATAGATTGAAGAAAAAGCTGGTAGGCCGGAAAAGCCTGTGGCTGGATTTCTGACACAGCTCAGCTTAGAAAACCTCATGGAGTAAGCAGGTAAAATGGCGTCTGGATGACCCAGAAGTGGAAATCATTCTGATGCTGACCTCAAGCAACAGGAAGTGACCAAGCACTGTCAGCAAGGTATGGAGGTAAGTAGTGGGTTTATATAGGCCGGTTGCAACCCCTCCCACAACTCCAGGCTCCGCCTTCCCATTTGTCATATATTGTTGTTTTTTTTCTTTTTTTTTTCTTTTTGGATCGTCTAGTGAACTCTCGAGAACAAAAAAATAAAGAAAAAATCACATTACCAAACATACATGAAACATCTTCAAGTATACTAAGCACTTGAAGTCTATTTCCTAACATTCCAAAGACTCTAAAAAGAGTCAAAAAACACTTTCCTTGATGGGTTTTAACACCCACTTTTAACCTTTTCAGGTTCCGGCAGGGGAGGCTGTATCTCGATTTGAAGGAGCCAAATCTAAATTTTTCTTTATCATTCCCTGCTTCCTCTTTCTCTTCTGCTGTATGAAGTCCATACTTCTACCTTTCTCTCCTCCTCTTCCTCTGGTACGAGAAAGAGAAGAAGAAAGAAAGAAAGAAGAAGAGAGAGAGAAAAAAAATATATAAAAAAATCTTACTTCCTAATTACCTTTCCCTTATTTCACCTTTTTTTTCCTTTTTCCCTTTCTTTTGCTATATACATGATCGTATCTTTATTCTCTAATATTTATATTGAAAAGTTTCTTTCCCTTTCATTTCCCTTTTCCTTTCTTTTTCCTTTCTTTCCTTTCACACCTCTAAGTTTCAACTCTTTTTCATCTTGTGCACACTTCCCATATTTTAATTTTGTGTTAACCTTTTATATTATATTGTGGATCTTTAAATTTACTACTTTCCCTTATTATTGTTCAGTGACACAAAAAAAAAAAATCTTTATTTTAACAAAATTCTAATTTTTTCAATTCTGTTTCTTGTGAATAACTAATGTGCAATTTGTTGTAATTCTAAATTTGACCCTTTCTCCTCAAAAAATTTAGTGTAACATACATAGTTTTCATAAATTTTCCTTAAAAATGTCCTATATGTGAATTTCATTACTGACATATATGTGTTTTCTTTTAACTTGAAAATTCTTATCACTATTAATTTCTCCTTCATTAATTACAGTTTATTCTCTATATCTTCGACGTGCTGTTTCAACTTCCTTTATAAAATTCATTTTTCTCTTCTTTTCTCCTCTTCCTCTCTCTAAAGTTCTACAAGACGATTAGCTTCCGCTCATGTCCATGCTTTAAATCTTCAGCTTCTTTTCCTTTTTCATCCCCTCTCACTCCTTCTCTTCTCCTTATCTTTTTTCTTCCTTATCTGATTATATAGAGTCATTTCTCTTTCTTCCTTATCCATTCTTCTATCTGAGATGGGGTCGTAAATGTCTAGCGTATTCCTTCTGTAATTATCTTTATTTTACTGGGGTAAATCCAAGAATATTTTATGTTTAATCTTCTTAATGAAGTAGTAGCCATCGTGAATTTCTTTCTTTGTTGTCTAGTGTAGAAAGACAAATCTTGAAATATCTTGATGTCGCCAAACTTTTCTGTGTTAATCAGTTTTGTTCGAGCTGCATACAATATAGCTTCTTTGAATTGATAGGACTGAAAATTTATTATTATATCTCTCGGTATTTGTTGAGGGACCGAACTAGGTTTACTTATACGGTGGTATTAGTGTTTAAAGTTGACACTCTTATCCTTGTGTCTCTTAACCCCTTTTAATCTTTGTGTGTCTCGTCATTCAACTTATCACCTTAAGTGTCTCTCTTTACCCTCGCTCACCCCTTGTATGTCTTTCGACCCTTTTGTGTGTCGTTTAACCACGCTCACCCATTGTTCTTCTCTTAAATTCCCCTTACCACCTGTGTCTTTAGTAAAGCGCCTTAACCCATGCTTATCTCTCTCAACTCTCAAGGCCTTTCTGTATCGCTTATCCCCCTTATGATTACTTTAACCCCTCCCATACCCTTTAGGTAGCCTGGGGCACAGGAAGAGCTGGGGAGCCTGAAGCAGTGGAGAAGCAGTGAGTGTCTGGGCCATAAGAAAAGGAGGGAGAGCCTTGGTCAGAGGAGAAGCAGGGGAGCCTAGAGCAGAGAAAGAGGGGAGATGGGGCAGGTTAGGAACCACTGTCCTGGCCCCTTTCGGACAATATTAATACAGATTCCAGGAAACTTGGAAGCTTCTGGGCCTCTTATATGGGTCATCTACTTACGTAGTTACATAGTAATCGGCATTGAAAAAAACCACTAAAGTCCATAAAGTTCACCACTTAAAACCTACTCGTTTAATCTGTTGATCCAAAAGAAACAGAAAATATAAATAAAAAAGTTAATTGTTGCGGATTTCAATTATATCAAAATAAGAGAAGAAAATTTATTCTTTACATAATTGCTTGGATCAACAACCTGTTCACATACATATCTTGAATATTCAATTTTTACAAAAAACATGCAGGCTTTTTTTTTTTTTTTATATCTGAAGATAACATTAGGTAGACAATTCCAAATTTTTGTTGTTCTTACTGTAAATAACCCTTTCCTTTGCTGTAAGTGAAAATGCCCTTCTTCCATTCTCAAGGGGTGGCCTCTTGCCTGTTAGCACTATACATATGTACAAGGTATGTACCATCATATCCCCTGTAGCAGAATAAACATTACAATACCCCTTTTCCTTCCCTTTTTCGGTTGTCCCTACCCCCCTATTCATTTACCGAACGGATCTGAGGGCGCTCAGATCCCAGCTATTCAGTGAAACATCTTTTGTGGGGTTCTGAAATATTAAAATGCGTTTTATGCTGTTTATAAATATTGTATATTTTCTGTACCTGAGAGATAATTTAATTAAAGTTTTGATCTTACTCAATTATTTTCCAGGCACAGAGGAAGAGTCTGGGAACTGTTGACTTGTCCCTTGTCCCCACTCAGGTCCACCGGGAGAAAACCCCTGGAATATGAGTTAAGAAACCCCTTACAGGGGGGGGGAGCCACCTGCAGACCAGCACGGACGCATCTTGGAAAACTCTGTACCAACACAAGCAAAATACCCGATTTACCAGCGGAAATTGGGCACCTACCTCTCCTATACCTTGTCTACCTGTCGGGGAGGTGATAATGGGTAACAAAAACAAAATACCAAGGCTGGACAAACTCCCTCACAGCCACGACATCGGCAAACTCCTGCGGAACTCACAGAAGGCCGCATGGGAGAAAATGGTGCTGGGGAAAGACGGATTTTCCGACTCCTCAGAGGACTCCTACCCAGAAGGCGCATTGATAAATCCATCCGCGGGGCACAAGACCAAGACACCTGTATCGCCCCATTTACAGTCTCATGTCATTCATATACAGCCATATGCAAATGGGCCCGCACATAGCGCGGTCATATGTTAGAGATGTTCACTCTAGCGCTGGCTCCGAATTCTCCCCCCCCCACTACCAATAATAGAGTAAAGATAACTTACTGATGTAAATCCCTGGAGGGGGCTTCCATCCCCCCTGGAGCACTTAAGCTTACGCGAGACAAACCGTTACTGAATATACCTTAGTCATGTGCCCATTGGGGCTTATCTTATTGTATTATACCTGCTGACTAACTTTTTTTTTTTAAATCACTCTGCATGATGCTATGTACAAGCCGTTAACTATGCTTTTATTCCTGTATGAGAACTCTAAGGGCAACAGCCCACATATTTATTTCTTTTTTTTAACATGCTGCGACCAAAAAAAAAAGAAACCCCTTGCATGGGAAGTTGCAGAAAATTCAGCTGTGGCTGAATAAAAATCAGTTGACTCCCAGAACCAGGGCTGCCACCCGAAATTTTGGGTCTGCCCCCCCACATCCCCCAGGCCCGCTCACGAGTCCACCCACAGGACTCCTACCTAGTCTGCTGTCAGTGATGCATAACTGAATGTGGTGTGTATAGTGGAAGTGAATTAGAATGTGTGTAATGGATGTAGTGTTTGTGTGTATTAGATACTGTTTGTGCAGTGAATGCAGAGTGCGTGTTTGTGTAGCGGATGCAGTGTGTATAGTGAACGCACAGTGTGTTTGAGTAGTGGATGTAGTGTGTGTACAGTGATGTAGTGTGTGTTTCTGTAGTGGATGTAGTATTTGTGTGTACTAGATGCAATGTGTTTAGTGGATGCATTGTCTGCAGTGGATGTAGTGTGTGTATTAGACGCAGTGTCTCTGTATAGTGAATGCAGAGTATTTGAATGTGTCGTGGATGTAGTGTGTGTACTGTGAATATAGGATGTTTGTGTAGTGGATGCTGTGTGTATTGTTAATGCAGAATGTATGTTAGTGTAGTGAATGCAGAGTGTGTGTCAGTGTAGTTAATGCAAAGTGTGTCAGTGCAGTGAATGCAAAGTGTGTGTTAGTGTAGTGAATGCAGAATGTGTGTTAGTGTAGTGGATGCAGAATGTGTGTTAGTGTAGTGGATGCAGAGTGTCTGTTAGTGTAGTGAATGCAGAGTGTGTGTTAGTGCAGTGAATGCAGAGTGTGTGTAAGTGTAGTGAATGCATAGTGTGTGTTTACTAGTGTATGCATGTTGTGTAAATGGAGCATTCCCCCCCACACTAAATGTAATAAAAGTTATTCCCCCCTCCCTGCTTCTTACCTGGTCCAAGGAGGGGGGAGATTCCATCCCTGGTGGTCTGGTAGCATTGTGGGGCCCCCCGGCTCCCTGTATTTGCAGAGAGGGCCCAGCAGTCTGAATCTGTATGATAAAGCTCTTCCCTCTCTCTATCTCCCACGAGCGTAATATGCGTGCCGCGCGGAGCATTGCCATGGTAACCCGTGGCAACGCTCTGACGGCCACGGGTCTCACGGGAGTTAGAGAGAGGGAAGAGCTTTATCATACAGATGCAGACTGCTGAGCCCCCCTCTGCAAATACAGGGAGCTGGGGGGGGGCCCGCGGCTGCACACACATATATATATATATATATATATATATATATAGGGATCATCGCTATATATATGTGCAGAGAGGGTATCTGGGGCCCGTGACAACCGCCATGGTTGTCACCCCCTGATGGCGGCCCTGCCCAGAACTGTGTGTTGTCCAGTTACTGGGGGGATTTGGTCTTGCATATTGGATTGCTTCCTCAGCTACAAGGATTAAACAGCGGAGATATTTATGCAGAATGTTGGAGCTCCACTTCTAAAGAAAACAAATGCAATTTTTCTAGCCTTTCTTCACAACTAACATTTACCATGCCCATTATTCATTTTGCAGCTAGCCTCTGCACTATTTCTAGTTCTGTAATATCCTTCTTTGAAAACGGGTGCCCAAAATTGCACCACATATTCAAGGTGGGGTGTTACCATTGATTTATAAAGAGAGAAATTATATTTCGGTCACGTGAATCAATATATGCTTTTTTTATACATGACAGCTTCTTACTAGTCTTTGCAATGGCAATTTGATAAGGTCTGGGATCCTGAGAATCTCCCAAGCACTATGATATATATATTACTCTTTACTCTATTCCTAATGAAGTGGAAAACTTTGAAAAGCCTATCGCCATGCCTCTCCTGGTTTGAACAGGACTCTCTTACAGGGCTGGACTGGGGATACAAACCAGCCCTGGAAAATAAATCTATGCCAGCTCTTTCACTCACAGACACACACACATACACAAGCTCACTCACTAGCACGCACATGCTCACTCGCACAAGCTCACTCACTAGCACACACACATGCTCACTCACTAGGAGGCACACACACACAAGCTCACTCACTCACTAGTAGCCACACACACACAAGCTCAGTCACTAACACACACACACACGCTCTCTCACTAGCAGACACACACAAGCTCACTCACTAGCAGACACACACACACAGACAAGCTCAATCACTAGCAGTAACACACAGAAGCTCACTCACTAGCAGTCACGCTCACTAACTAGCAGGCACACACACACCCAAGCTAATTCACTAGCAGACACACACACAAGCTCACTTACCAGCCCACACACACACACACACACAATCACTGTCATGACTGAAGCTTACCTGGCACTGGTAGGTGAATTTGTCATTCTCTGGCCTCTTCTTTCCATGAAGGTCAGCAGCTTGCATGTGGGGGCGGGGCTTGTATTTGAGAGGTGGGGCTTATGTGCAAGGGTGGGAAATTACCCAGTATCCCGTTTGGGCAGTTCGGCCCTGCTCTCTTATGACATGCTAAGGTTTCAGAGATGTCAGTGGGTTTTTTTAAGTTTTTGTTACTATTTTTAATTATAGCTACAAAAAGTTATATAATTTATAATTATAATAATTTGTGATTTTTATAGCGCTTTTCTCCCTGTGAGACTCAAAGCACTTTACAGGTATACAAACGTGTTGATGAAGTGCCATCATTTGCACCTATAATGCTTACATCTGCTATTTCCTTAGCGTTGTTCTTCCTTAGCAATTAAGGTAAGAATATAATAGTAAGCGTGACTGAGTGTAACTGAATTCTACAGCAGCACAATATTTGCTCTGTCTAGTAAATGGAGAAGAAATTATGAGTCATAGTTAAGAATTATGTCAAAGGCAATGGGCACCATCTAGTGGTCATGCACCACATTGAAGAACTTTGGACCATTAATCTGATGATTTTAATTAGACGTGATGAATGTCTTCAAGGTGTCAAACGGGCTTAAACCTAAATACTATCCTACCAGAATAGGAGATTCAGTCACAGCCCTAAGCAGGACCAAAATATCCATAAGCTCAGGGGCATAGCACGGTCATGAGGTGCCCAGGGGTAAGTCTTTTATTTGCAACCCCCCATCTCCAAATCATAGTTTCATGCCCCTGACAGATTGCGGATCCTTTGCATAAGAATTGTTTATTAATAATAATGATAATAATAATTTGACACAAAATTCCAAGATTAGCTGAATAAGTTATCATTATATTCAGACAAGTTACTATTAAGCAAAAGTCATTTATTTGCACGTTGGAACAACACAAAATACATATTATATACATGCATTAAATTCATAGATATATATGCACACATCCACACAAATACAACTCTGCTTTCATGCACCCATAGACTTTACATACCCCTGCATTCAAGTACACTAATTCTACACACAAAAACACTTTTGTATTCACACACACTGACACAACATATAACTTAATTCCTGCATTTACACTGATCCTCCTCCCAAACACATATCTGTATTTACAAAGTTACATAAAGTCAAGTAACTAAGTAAACATAAGGAATACAGAAAAACACCAGTGTTGGTAAACAAGCCAAGGTCAATACTGGAAAAAATATATATAAATGCACTAATCGGGAAAAACTCAACTGGAAACCACGACATGGACGCAGCTAAAATTGTATTTAAACACTATGGAATATCCCCCTGTGACCTCAAAAAGTGTAGGAATGAGGTCGCAGGGATGACGTGGCTGGAAATGATGCAATGTGCCTTATTAGCATTAGTAGAGGAATGCTGTGAGTGTCCCTCTTGCTGCCCAGAACAACATTATGTGTATGCCTCCCAATTGGTGCGTTTGAGGGGTCCTTATCTCAGTGCCAATTGGGAAGAGACGGACACTACCGCAGAAGCATATCCACAAGACACGGCCTTCCTGTTTTGACTGTCTTTTAGCCTTCTTCAGTGCGGAATGGGTTCATAAGTCAACGTATTTATAGTTTTATATGTCACTTCGGTTTACGTGAGTTTGGGTAAAGGGGCGTAAAATGTGTTTGAGATACTGGGTTTAGTGGTGTGAGCAGGGATTTAACCCTGCTCACCCAGTAATCTATTTAAAGGCAATCAAATGCCAATTTAAAGATTTCCAGCACTGCAAGCAGCTCATCAAAAAGTCTAGGGACACTAAAATTGGCCCCAGAAGACATACGGGAGCCCCAGGTATCCATTGATACCTGCAACTCAATGGTGTTACCAGGGATTCAACCCTGGTAACACCAAATCTGAATGACGTTCCATGTCATCATACAAAGGGGGATGGGGCTGGACTGCCATGCCTTTCTGAGGTTCTCTCTCCAAGCTCCTGCACTGATGCCCTGAATTTGGGCCATCCTGCTTAATGGTCGGAGTTTGGGGCACATCTGAGCTCAGTACACATCACCCTATCAGATGGACTGGTTATTTTCTATTGTACAGCCTAGTAGCACTAAGTACTGACACAGAGGTCTACCAACCCATCTGCAGCCTACACGTTGCTTGGCCTGGTGTAGTATATCCTCGCTGCAGGTTGGCCTCGCTTCCTGTGATTATTTTTCTCTTCTATCTTCTCATCTTAGTTCTCATATTTGCTTCTCTTTCTCAGTTAGCTATGCCTCTCCTTTACACCTTCTTAGGACAAGCATGTACTCTCATACAGTATTTATATGCAAGGGACTCCTACAGAATTTTGCATAGTACACTATTCTGTGCTCCCTATCCCCTTGGTTAACTTGCCAGATCTAGTTATCTTCACACTATACTAAACCTTTTCGAGGAATGATGCTGTCACGGTACCCGATAGCTTTTACCTGCCCAGCTCTGTCCCTGGTGTGTTGATAGTGGATCCTCAGTTGCCTGTGTCTCTGCCCTGAAGAGCTCTTGCCGCTTCCCCTGTGGTTCCTGACTGTTGGCTCTGCTTGGGTGCCGCTACTGCGGCAACATGGCAACCCAGATGCAGACACTGAATCAGCCGAGGTCGGGGACACAGAATGAGACAACAATGAGGGAAAGCCAAAAGTCAAGGATACCAGAATACAGGGAAGTCAAGCGAAACCAAAGTCAATAACCAGAAATAAACGCTCAAGAATACGCTCTCGGACAACCACAAAGGGAAACCAAGACAGGGCAATGAGGGAAGGCAATAAAGGAGTTTAAATAAGTCTCCTTTAACTCCGATTGGCTGTACCCAGCCTCTGACCCCAGAAAGTGCGCGTGTGTCCACTGCATGACATCACATGCATGTTGACGTCTTTATTGCCGCGGGTGGACGTGGGGTTACAAATTGGCATGGACCTGCAGCGTCCCGCATCTTTCAATATGCCGCAGGAGTCAGACAGCATGGTACAGGGCTGCCGACAAGCCTCTCCACCAATGCCCGGAGGTAGTTATCCCCACAAGACACCACAAGGTGAGGATGAACATGTGACAATATGGTGGTGTGTTTTTATATAGTGTTGACATTTGAATGCAGGGTTGTATTTGTGTGTAGTGTAGGCAAAATGCTGAGATGTATGCACATTTACACGCATATACTCACATATACACAGACTGGTACATATAAGTAAAAACATGCTGTTACATAGCTGAAAAGAGACTTGAGTCTATCAAGTTCAGCCTTCCTCACATATGTTTTTGGTGTTACATAGAAACACAGTCATACACAGATACAGACAAACACATGTGTAAAAAAAATAAAAAAATAAAAAAAGTGCAAGGAGGGAGCCAGCAGCGCTACCAGCTTCCTCCTTGTAGTAGAAACATAGAATGAGACGGCAGATAAGAACCATTTGGCCTATCTAGTCTAGTTTTTTTTTCATTTTTTTTTTTATTTTAACAGTTGAGGCGGTATTATGAATTTTTATTTGGCCTTTTTTGGGGGCTGAAGAAAGAAAAGAAGAAAATCTAATGGTAAGTATGAAAGGGGGTTAGTTTATTGCCCCCCTCACCCTATTAATAGTGAGATAGAGATAGGGTATTTTTATTTGGGGGGGAGTGACTAGGGGCTTGGGGACCCCAAGTCACTTTATTATTTGTGGTCACCACCCGCTGCTCATGGGTGGGGACCTGAGGGGACATTAGGACCCCCACCTTTATTTATTTAATTAGGGTCCCCACCCGCTGCTCATGGGTGGGGACCAGGGGGGACATTAGGTCCCCTACTTTAATTAATTAGGGTCCCCACCTGCCGGCCATGGGTGGGGACCTGGGGGGGGGGACATTAGGTCCCCCCATTATTAAATTATTTAAGGTTCCCACCCGCCAGTCATGGGTGGGGACATTAGGTCACCCCTGTTATTTATTTATTTAATTAGGGTCCCCACCCGTCACTCATGGGTGGGGATCAAGGGAGGACATTAGGTCCCCCTCTTTAATTAATTAGCGTCCCCCACCCGCCGCTTTATGGGTGGAGACATTAGGTCCCCCCTTTATTTAATTATTTAAGGTCCCCACCCGCCCCTCATGGGTGGGGACCTGAGGGGGACATTAGGTCCCCCCCCATTATTTATCTAAGTATGGTCTATGGTCCCCACCCTCTGCTCATAGGTGGGGACCAGGGGGAACATTAGTGTGATGAACTGAACTTCGCCACTGGCTTTTGGAGGGGCCTGTTTGCCAGCCTCCTACCCTGTGACTATGGCTCCTTGCAATAGACCTGGCTAAAATACTTCAAACAGGCTCTGGTTATGCAATTGGGACTATATGGTTAGTTTACCGAACAACCGCATGAACAGAGACCACCCTGGAGCTTGTTAACACCTATTAACAACGTTTCTCACCGCAGTGTTCTAATTCGTCTGGGTGGCCGCAATTCCTATGAACAACCACGAGGTGGCAGCCTATCTTGAACGCAGGCAGTTGTGTTTTGGCATGAATCTCATGGAACTGAAATCGGATACAGAAAATTCCAAACACCGCTGGACTTTCATCATCACCTGCGTTCGGTTCTAAAGAAGTTAGAAGGACACTGTTAGGTGGGTTCATTCGTCTGGATGAAGGGAACAAGCTCCAGGGTAAGACTATTGACTCTGTTCGGTAGTTTGTTCGTTTTCAAACTACCGAACTAGACCGACTGCAAGCCCTGATTCTCTGGAACTGTTTTGGGCATCGGACCAGTGTGGCTCCCATTAGAGATTTGTTTACCCTTTCATGAAGTCTTGGCTCATGTTTGGGGGATTGGAGAACTACATTCACTCTGGGGATTGTTATATCACAATACTCCTCTGACTATAATCACTAGCTCTTATAAGAGCTGCTTCTGCTACGCTCTCTGTACTAGGAGCGGTCTACCCACTGGAAGCTGGATCCTGGTCTTGGGTCCAGGATGGGTGGAGTACAGCGAGACTCCAACCAAGCTGCGGTGGTTTGTGGCGTCTACGGTGGTTATGGTGTTCCAGTAAAAAATTCTTATGGTGCTCGCAAACACTAGGAAGCAGCAATTGACGGCGGTACCCGGTCTGGGTGCCAGGCGGCCCGTCACAATTTGGTTCCCCACCCGCCACTCATGGGGGGGAGACCAGGGGGGGACGTTAGGTCCCCTCCATTTTTTTATTATTAAAGGTCCCCACCCGCCGCTCATAGGTGGGGACCAAGGGGAACATTAGTGTGATGAACTGAACTTCACCACTGGCTTTTAGAGGGGCCTGGACCACTAGGTCCCCCATTTATATTAAAAGCCCCCACCCACAGGTCACAGGTGGAGGAGCGGGAGGGCACTATGTGCCCCCCATTTGAGTTATTTTGGTTCCCCACCATGGGGGAACAGGGGACCTGTGACAGGTTCCCCTTATTGCACTAGCGACTGGGCAGCAATAGGGTTTTATATTTTTTAGATTACATGCATATGTCCTGCTATTATCAGTAGGTATATTTTATGTTCACAGAGGGTAACTGTTTATCATTTGTTCTTGAGAGCCCCTTTACCCAACATTCTCAGCCTAACCCCCCTCAACTCAGAAGGAACTTGAATTCTATTGACCTCCAGCAGCTCTCAGTTCTGAACTCTCATCCATCCCTACCTTCTCATATCCCTCTCTGGCTATGTCCTCATATATGCTACCTTCACCTCTGCCCTGACATGCACCTCAAGGAAGATGCGCCTCCAACCATGGCACACTGAGTCAAGCCGCTACCGGCAGAGTTGCTCCCGCTCTGCTAAACGCTGCTGGAGGAAGTCCCGCACCTTGTCAGACTTTCTCCATTATAAATTCATCTTGCGTTTATACAGCGCAGCTCTCACCCTTGCTAGACAATCCTACTTTTCCTCTCTTGTTAGTTCATGCTCACAAAATCCCAGGTGTCTTTTTGATACTTTCAACTTTCCCCACCTCAAGCAATTCCCCAAACTAACCTTGCAGCCGATTGCTTTGCATGCTACTTTACAGACAAGATTGAACAGTTAAATATATAATTCTCCCCCGTTTGCCCCTCTCTATAACAACCACACCTGGACAATACCTTCCCTATCCTTTATGCCTTCTTCCGAGCTACTGAACAGGAGGTTAAGTAGCTGGGGAGAACTTCTCCTCTCATCCCATCACCAGTCTGCTTGATCCCTTACCTTCCCACCTTATCAGAACTCTCTCCCCTTTTCTTGTACAATCCTTAAAGGACCACTCTAGGCACCCAGACCACTTCAGCTTAATGAAGTGGTCTGGGTGCCAGGTCCTTCTAGGGTTAACCCATTTTTTTATAAACATAGCAGTTTCAGAGAAATTGCTATGTTTATGAATGGGTTAAGCCTTCCCCCTAATCCTCTAGTGGCTGTCTCATTGACAGCCACTAGAGGCGCTTGCGTGCTTCTCACTGTGATTTTCACAGTGAGAGCACGCCAGCGTCCATAGGAAAGTATTATGAATGCTTTCCTATGTGACCGGCTGAATGCGCGCGCAGCTCTTGCCGCGCGTGCGCATTCAGCCGGCGGGGCGTAACGGAGGCGGAGAGGAGGAGGAGAGCTCTCCGCCCAGCGCTGGAAAAAGGTAAGTTTTTACCCCTTTCCCCCTTCCAGAGCCGGGTGGGAGGGGGTCCCTGAGGGTGGGGGCACCCTCAGGGCACTATAGTGCCAGGAAAACAAGTATGTTTTCCTGGCACTATAGTGGTCCTTTAATGCACATCTTAAACTGCTCTCTTTTGTCTGGCATTGTCCCTATTCCCCTTAAACATGCTACGGTCATACCCATCCTAAAAAAAGCCTTCCCTAGACTGGTCTTCCCCTTCCAACTATCTGCCCATATCCATGCTTTCTTTTTTCTCAAAGCTTCTAAAAAGACTTGTCTTAACTCATTTGGCTCGCTTCCTCAATTCCAACTCTCTCCTCAACCCTCTTCAATCTGGCTTCCACCCCGCTTCACTTTACTGAGACTGCTTTAGACTAAAGTCACAAATGACTTAATCGCAGCTAAATCCAAAGGTCACTACTTCATACTAATTTTTCTTGACCTCTCTGCCATTTTTGACACTTTTTAAATTGCTTCAATCCCTCGGTCTCTATGACATTGTCCTCTTGTGGTTCTCATCCTATCTTTGCCAACGTTCGTTCAGTGTCTCCTATTCCAATGACACCTCCCCTCATCCTGTCTCTGTTGGAGTCCCCCAAGGATCTGTTCTTGGTCCCCTTCTGATCTCATTTTATATTGCCCCTCTCTGCAAACACATTAATTCTTTTGGATTTTGCTACCACCTGTATGCCGATGACACCCAGATATATCTCTCCTCCCCTGATCTCTCTCCTGCTTTCTTTCCTCCTCATAATGCTGATCCTTTCCCTTCAAGGTGATGATACGTGCATCAGTCCATCCATGCAAGCTCATTCTCTTGGTATTATCTTTGATCCTGGCCTAATCTTTGTGCCTTATATCTAGTATGTTGCTAAAGCCATTCGATCACACCTTAAAAACATTGCCCTCATCCACCTTTTTGTTATGCAAGATGCTGCCAAGGAGCTTGCTCATGCTCTGGCAATCTCTCGCATGGATTACTGTAATTCTCTCCTCGTTGGTCTCCCCAGAAGCCGAACTGCCCTGCTACAATCTATAATGAATGCTGCCGCCAGGTTGATCTTTCTCACCTGTCGCTCCTCATACTGGTTTCTGTATCTTATAGGTATAAATTCAAAATACTAATGGTTACCTATAAAGCTCTAAACAACTCTAGCCCCTGTTACATTACTGATTTATAGATATGCCCATTCTTGGTCTCTCCACTCTGTCGATGACCTTCTCCTGTCCACTGCTCGCACCCTTACTGCTACCTCATACTTACAGGACTTCTCGCGGGTGGCTCCCTTCCTTTGGAACAGCCTGCGTACCCCCTATCAGACTCTCCCCTAGTTTTCAATCATTTAAGAATTCCCTTAAAACCCATCTGTTCAGAAATTATCATGGCTTCCCAAAGTAACTTCTATGTCATGTCTGTCTCTTGCTCTCTCTTAAAGAGCCACACTCCACTCTCTTGCTACTTTCCACCTTGTTTGGTTGCTTTTCCACTTGCTGCGCTATTGTGTTTTAATACCCTACCTCCTCTAGACTGTAAGCTCGTTTGTGCAGGGTCAACATCTACCTATTATTTATGTATCATTTTGTAAATGTCTCATTTATTGTTACATTTTCCTCCTTTCATAATATTGTAAAGCGTTGAGGATTAAGAAGGCACTATATAAATACCAATAATAAAAATAGCATCATCCCCTTTTTTTGCAGCACATTTTTCTATAACAAAAATGTTTTTAAATACGTATTATAAGGAAGCTGTTAATACAGTCTACTGGTAAATTTATTGTTGAATTTAATCTGATCACTATTTTGTATTCTATTTTACATCACTATATTTTGTTATGATCTCATTTCTATTGTACATTACTATGGTATATGAGGTGTGACAAACTCACTATTTTCCCTGTGTTCAAAATATTTCCCTTCAATTTTTTTATTTTTATTTTTGAAAGTGCATAGGTAATCACAAGTTTCAATATTGCCAAAGGATGTTACAGTAGTTGCTAGTTGGTGACATTTCGGTGACAGGTTCAAGATGTGTTGCACTTTTTTTTTTTTTTTTATACGAAATTAAAAAAAGTGAGCATAGACAGGCGTAGCAAAATAAAAGTAACAGTCAGGCTATACATGCTGTCTAAATCAATCCAGCTTGAGATCATATTTCTATAGTTAGTTAGTTATATACTGCAAGCGAGCTATATTGTGACAAACAGGCTAGTCGTGCCCAGGGCCAGATTAAGAGCCCAGTGGGCCTGGTGCTGACAATTATGACGGGCCTAATTACAGAATCATATTGACCCAAAACACTAAAACATTCCCAAGCATTATGTATCTGATGGAGATGGTGCTGGAGAGAAAGAAAACAGCAGCTATAAGAAAACACATACCCTAGGCTAATCTCCCTCTAATTTATGTTTTCATCTTTCAAGTAAATCCATGACCCCTAACAGCAACGTCCAATCAAGCAGGAAGTCAATGGGCACAGTAAAAGGGTGTGCCACTGACACAAATCACATAACCTGCCAACAGGGGAGGGCTGGCAGCCTTAGGCCTGGGGGCAAAACCAGTCAAGTGGCCCATTGTACCACCAAATCAGTGCAATGGTGCCCACCTTTCCTGGTTTTATAATGGATATTGATGTTATGCTAATCAGTAGCTCTTTGCCATACCTGCTCCTTCACGGTTCTGACTTTCAATGTTGTCAGAGCACAGGCTGAGAATCTCTGAGCCTGTGCTCTGACTCACTAACTGAGCGCCAGAACCACGAGGGAGAGGCTATAATCTGACTGCACCTACTGCTGGTGCGCACCAGTGGACCACCAGCAAATCGTTTAAATTGAATAGGCTGGTGTCCCCAACTTGTGAGCTGTGTTGTCCACCGGGCGCCTCTATTGTGATGGCACCCTGCGTGACCACACAGCGTGCACACCCCAACGGCTGGCCCTGCTGACACACACTGATGTAATCCCTCAATATTAATACAGACATCAGAGTAAACACCAATAAACTGTGGAAACAGAGCTGATCCCCCCCAAATTTATAAAGATTTGCTTACTGGATTTGTTGTAAGATTAAATCATGCCTCCTCCTCTCTCTCTCCCATGCGCTGCTCTGTAAGCTGGGAGGAAGTGAAGAGTAATCACAATCTCCCAGCACAGTGGCACCTGTGGCTGCATGGGGAACAGCTATATTTGCCACCCCCCATGTGACATCACAATGCCCCACCTATATGAGCTGCCACACGAACTAACGCCAGTGCTGCCCACAGTGTGTGTTTACATTAAAAATCCTGCAGGGACCGGCTATAGACACCAGAACCACTTAATTAAGCTCCAGTCGTTCTGGGGACTATAGTGTCCCTTTAATGTAATGTAAATTATAGATTAGTGTCACTAATAATATAGTAGATTGCCTACTTACAACCAAATGAGGATGATGATGGGCTGCAGTTTGGCTCCACTGGTCTGGTATAGAACAGGATCTCTGGAGGCTGTTTGCAACTGTGGTCACAAAATTCAATGTTCTGGGAGAAATGGAAGCAGCTCCATTTTTTGGGTGGCCCCTTACACAGCTCAAGGTCTGTATGCCCACAAGGCCCACTTACAAGTCCACTTATATGTTCCACCCACCCATGAGTTCGCTCACAGGGAGTGGAGTGTGTAGGGGATGTGTTATTGTAGAGGATCTAATATGTGTGCTTATGGTATGTAGTGTATAGGGATACCAGTTTGTGCAGGTGAAGCAGTGGGTTTGTGTGTAGTGGAAGCAGTGTGTATTTGTGTATAAGAGATGTATTGTGTGTTTCTGGTTGTGTGTAAGGGATGCATTGCGTGAATCTGTGTTTGTATGCATAAGGGATGCAAGGTGTGTGTCTGTAAGTGTGTGCATTGAGTGTGTGTGTTAGAGATGCATTGTGTTTCTGTGTGTATGTAAGAAAAGCAGTGTGTGTGTAAGGGTTTGCATTATGTGTTTCTGTGTATGTGTGCAAAGGATGCATTGTCTTTGTGTGTAAGTGTTGCATTGTGTGTGTGTAATGGATGCATTGTGTGTTTCTCTGTGTGTAAGGGAAGCATGTTGTGTTTCAGTGTGTGTAGGGATGCATTGTGTGTGTGTGTGTGTGTGCGCGTAGTGTCCTCTCCTCCCTGTGTCCTCCTCACCTCCCCCTCCCTGTGTTCTCCTCACCACCCACCCTCCCTGTGTTCCTCTGAGTCCCCCTTCTCCCTCATCTCTCCCCTTTCCCTCACTCTACCTCCCCCTCCCTCCCTTGTGCTCTTTTCCTTACCCCCTTGTTCCCCCACCATACCCTTCTTCTTTCATTCCCTCCTCCTCCTTCTGTTACTCCCCCCTCCTTCACTTAGGAGTAAGGTGAGAAGGAGGGGAGTAAGGGGAGGGGGGGAGGGAGTAAGTGAAGGGGGGGGAGTAAGTGAAGGAGGGGGGAGTAAGGGGAGGTGTGAGGGAGTAAGTGAAGGGGGGAAGTAAGTGAAGGAGGGGGGGAGTAAGTGGGGAGGAGTAAGTGAACGGGAGGGGGTGAGGAGTAAGTGAAGGAGGGGGGAGTAAGTGGCAGGGGCAGTAAGTGAATGGGAGGGGGGAGTAAGTGAAGGGGGTGTAAGGAAGGGGAGTAAGGAAGAGAAGGGGGAGTAAGGAGGGGGGAGGGAGTAAGTGAAGGAGGGGAAGTAAGTGAAGGAGGGGGGAGCGAAGATGGGGTGTAAGGAAGGAAGGGATAGTACGCGAAGGAAGGGGAGTAAGAAGGAGGGGGGAGAAGGAGGGGGGAGTAAGTGAAGATGGGGAGTAAGTGAAGGTGGCAAGTGAAGGAGGGGGGAGTAACAGAAGGAGGAGGAGGGGGAGTAAGAAGAAGAAGGGTATGAAAAACGGGGGGTAAGAAGAACAAGGGGGGAGTAAGAAGAACACAAGGAGGAGGGGGGAGAGTAAGAGTGAGGAGAAGGGGAGATGAGGAGAAGGGGGGACTCAGAAGAACACAGGGAGGGTGGGTGGTGAGGGGAACACAGGGAGGGGGAGGTGAGGAGGACACAGGGAGGAGAGGACACTACGCGCACACACACACACACACACACACAATGCATCCCTACACACACTGAAACACAACATGCTTCCCTTACACACAGAGAAACACACAATGCATCCATTACACACACACAATGCAACACTTACACACAAAGACAATGCATCCTTTGCACACATACACAGAAACACATAATGCAAACACTTACACACACTGCTTTTCTTACATACACACAGAAACACAATGCATCACTAACACACACTCAATGCACATACTTACAGACACACACCTTGCATCCCTTATGCATACAAACACAGATTCACACAATGCATCCCTTACACACAACCAGAAACACACAATACATCCCTTATACACAAATACACACTGCTTCCACTACACACAAACACACTGCATCACCTGCACAAACTGGTATCCCTATACACTACATACCATAAGCACACATATTAGATCCTCTACAATAACACATCCCCTACACACTCCACTCCCTGTGAGCGAACTCATGGGTGGGTGGAACATATAAGTGGACTTGTAAGTGGGCCTTGTGGGCATACAGACCTTGAGCTGTGTAAGGGGCCACCCAAAAAATGGAGCTGCTTCCATTTCTCCCAGAACATTGAATTTTGTGACCACAGTTGCAAACAGCCTCCAGAGATCCTGTTCTATACCAGACCAGTGGAGCCAAACTGCAGCCCATCATCATCCTCATTTGGTTGTAAGTAGGCAATCTACTATATTATTAGTGACACTAATCTATAATTTACATTACATTAAAGGGACACTATAGTCCCCAGAACGACTGGAGCTTAATTAAGTGGTTCTGGTGTCTATAGCCGGTCCCTGCAGGATTTTTAATGTAAACACACACTGTGGGCAGCACTGGCGTTAGTTCGTGTGGCATCTCATATAGGTGGGGCATTGTGATGTCACATGGGGGGTGGCAAATATAGCTGTTCCCCATGCAGCCACAGGTGCCACTGTGCTGGGAGATTGTGATTACTCTTCACTTCCTCCCAGCTTACAGAGCAGCGCATAGAAGAGAGAGAGGAGGAGGCATGATTTAATCTTACAACAAATCCAGTAAGCAAATCTTTATAAATTTGGGTGGGATCAGCTCTGTTTCCACAGTTTATTGGTGTTTACTCTGATGTCTGTATTAATATTGAGGGATTTCTAAGTAGTAACATCAGTGTGTGTCAGCAGGGTGCCATCACAACAGAGGCGCCCGGCGGACAACACAGCTCACAAGTTGGGGACACCAGCCTATTCAATTTAAATGATTCGCTGGTGGTCCAGTGGTGCGCACCAGCAGTAGATGCAGTCAGATTATAGCCTCTCCCTCGTGGTTCTGGCGCTCAGTTAGTGAGTCAGAGCACAGGCTCAGAGATTCTCAGCCTGTGCTCTGACAACATTGAAAGTCAGAACCGTGAAGGAGCAGGTATGGCAAAGAGCTACTGATTAGCATAACATCAATATCCATTATAAAACCAGGAAAAGGTGGGCACCATTGCACTGATTTGGTGGTACAATGGGCCACTTGACTGGTTTTGCCCCCCAGGCCTAAGGCTGCCAGCCCTCCCCTGTTCCTATGTATCAGTGTCTCATTGCCTCATGTCTCCAGGTGTCCCCTAGTGTCGTGTCCCCAGGTCTCCCAGTGTCCCTATGTATCACAGTGTCACAATGCCCCATGTCTCTCTGTGTCATCCAGGGCCACGGAGACACCAGTGAAACTGGGAGACTAGGGGACACTGGCTGGGACACATGGGGACACTGGGAAAATAGGGGAAACTTGAAGACATGGGGACACAAACACCAGGGACACAGACACTAGAGACACTGGCTGGGGGACATGGGGACATTGAGACATGGGGATACTGAGACACCAGGGCCAGAGACACTAGGGACACTAGCTTGGAGACATGGGGACATTGAGACACTCGAGGCACTGGGAGACAGAGGCACTAGGAGACATGGGAACAATGAGACACTGGCAGACTGGGGGCACTGGGAGACATGGGGACAGTGAGACACTGGGAGACTAGAGGGCACTGGGACACCAAGGACACTGGCTGGGAGACATGGGGACACCGTGTCCCCATGTGTCTGTGTCATAATGTCTCCCAATGTCCCTTAGTGTCTCAGTGTCTGCCATAATGTCTCCCAGTGTCCCTAAGTGTCTCAGTATATGTCTCCTTGCAACCTTTCCCCCCATCTCTTACTTCCCTGAGCTGTAGGCTGTCTCTGCAGGGTATGAGTTGCTGTCTGGACTCTCTGTAGCTGCACCCCTGCAGATCAGTGAGTATAGATAGGAAGGGAGGGATATGCAGGAACTTCCTATCCCTGCCTCTCTCCACACACAGTGACCCCTACTGGCCAGTGCTGGTATTGCAGAGTAATCTCCATTTATACTGAGAAAAATACCAACATTTGTATTGCCAGTATCACTGCAATATTGGCACCAGCCATGGAGCCTCAAATACTGTCTGTGCCAATAAAATAAAAGCCAGGTGGAATCCCTAAGACTAGTGTGTGAAAAAAAAAAAGTAACTTTTTTTTTTTTCTAAATCAATGGGCCTATTCCATGGGCCTGGGTCTGGAGCTGTAGCTCCATTAGCCCCTATGTTAATCCGGCCCTGGTCGTGCCCCATGACCAGGCTACAGGCCAGCAGAGCCTATGATGCATCTAAACAAGATGGGGGTCAATTTCGTATATTATGTTCCCTGAACTCATTTCACGTTTACCTAGTTCGGGAGCTGCAACCTACCGAACACCGACCACCCCCCTGGTTCATTAACTACAAACTAACCACAAAGTTAAGTGCTCTCATGAACTAGGCGAACAATCGCTACCTATGAGCCAGGGAAACCTTCAACATTTTATTCATTTCTGAACTCCCAAAAGGGTCTGCTACCATTTTTTCTCGGAAACTAATTTGGACATATGCCACATGTGAGGTCGGTCAAACTTTACCCTGGTGACAATTCGGCTGTGTTCGTGGGATCTCAGCAACAAAAATATCCAAATAGCCCTCAGATCCCACGAACACAGCCAAATCGCAGACGGGGTAAAGTTTAACAGGCTATCCGGGGATGTAATGCTTGTGGGGTGAATTTAGGTGTTTTGTATATTTTGAGGGTTTTGTATAATATTTTGTACCTCTAGTGCCTGGGAGATAATTATATTAAGCAAAAGCTAGCTCTGTTATCTCCCAGACACAGAGGCGCCTGGGCGGGCTTACTGTACAAGTGAATGGAGAACCCATGCTGGGGGTCTGTGTATATAAGCTGGCCACTGGGCCATAATAAAACATTCCTCTTGTACCCTTCATCAAGTCTTGGCTGATGTTTGGGTATACCTGAGCTATAATAATAATAATCACTGCTTCACCTTGGGACTCTGGAGATTTACAACGGATATACTCAGAGTATAGGGGGACATGGGGGACTTGGGTAGTTCTTGTAATTATGTGTAAATAGATGTATATTTAAGCTGTATGTTTTGTAATGGCACTGTCACGACTACCAGTGTGGTCCAACAGACAAAACTATGTAATATCTACATAGACTATAGAAGATAGACAGAATGTAAACCAGTCCACAGAATGGCTGGGTTAATACGTTGAAAGACAGAAAATGGTAAAGGGAAAGCCGAGGTCAAGGAAGCCAGAAATACACAAGATCAATAAGGAAAGCCAAGTCAGGGAAACCAGAGATAAGAGTAGTCAGGAATAGCCAGAGTCAAAATACTGGGAAGATCAAATAACAAGAACAAGCAAAAACGCACGCTCAGGAACTGAAACCACGACAGGGCAAAGGGCTAGGGAACCCTTTAAATAACCCTTCTTGTGCTGTGATTGGTCAGAGTTGGCCTCTGACCCCAGAACGTGCGTGTGTGTCAATGTTGTGACGTCACACGCACGTTCGCGTGACCCTTGGAGGCAGAGCTACAAATGGGCGTGACCTCGTGGTCGGTGCCATTCTGTTTGCCGCTTGTGGAGGGGACGGACCCGCCAGTTGGATGGCTCCCGGCTGAACAGGTAAGTTCACTAACCTGTCAGCGTGGTTGCACCAATCAGGTGACTACCTATATATATATGATATTATTTCTGCAGCAGTTCTATAAAAACAAAACATTTCCTTGGTGATAATGATTGCCAATTCTCAGGATAAAGAGAGACATAAAGTGTGCCACCTTGATGAATCTTTCTACCATCATTAGAATTATAAAATGTTCTTTAGAATGGAGTAAACCTAAAAACAAAAATATTGATAGATTTGTTCAAGGTCCTTTAGGTAGTATGTTAAGGAGAATAAAAAGCAATAAAGTGAAAATCCATAAAATATTAAAAATAGAGAGTATATACAGTCATGTGAAAAAGAAAGTACACCCTATTTGAATTCTATGGTTTTACATATCAGGATATTTCAATAACAGCATTTCAGTCATAAACAATTACCCAATTTCCTGTTGGACAATTTGTCGCTTGTGCATTTTGATTGTTTATTTGTTCATTTAATTACAAGAATAGAGATATAGGCTTCCTCCCTGTAATTTGAACATGGAAAGGAACACTAGCATTAGGAATACAAACAATATACAACATGACCCACATTTACAATATGGGAGATTCAAATCCTCCCTAATTTCTCCAACACCATGGGGGCTATTAAATAAAATGAATGGGGGGGGGAGGTGAGGGGGGATGTCCTCCTTAGTGCCCACCCATTGTCAGCATGTGGGGGCTAAGAATAAAATTATGTCCATCCCCACTACTGCAAAATTGTGGCCTGGATGGATAGAAGCCCCCAAGTCCCTAGCCTAACCTAATCCCTGATTAAAAAAAAAAAATACCCTACCCTACCCTTTTCCAAATGAAATTCTGATTAAAAAATAATTAGGCAAATTTTGCCCAAACAGAACAATCGGTTCAGAAAAACAAAAATAGAATTCTTTGCCGAACCGGAATTTTCTGTCATGCGCAAGTTTACTACTATTTATAAATATATAGTTTTGCTATAGTGTGCTTTTGAATTTGTGGCCAGTTATTCTCCACTAGGGATGTGCATGGGCCAAAACTTCAGTTTGGTTCGGAAATTCGGGTAAGTAAAAAAAATTTGCAACATCTACAAAACAGAACAATAAAATAAGGTTGCGCCTAAAATATACAGTAAAACACATAAAAATAGTATATAATAAATAATATAAAATAGTAAAATGTAATATAAAATATTAAATAAGTAGTTGGCAATAGTCCAAAACACTTATCATAAGTCCGTAATGGTAGATGCCACGTATAAGAACAGGGATTCTGAGACGTAAAGTAAAGTGGGTCTTCACAGTTGTGTGCTTGAGATCCAGTAGAACACAACTGTGAAGACCCACTTTACTTTACGTCTCAGAATCCCTGTTCTTATACGTGGCATCTACCATTACGGACTTATGATAAGTGTTTTGGACTATTGCCAACTACTTATTTAATAATTTATTTAATATTTGATATTAAATTTTACTATTTTAGGTTATTTATTATATACTATTTTTATATGTTTTACTGTATATTTTAGGCGCAACCTTATTTTATTGTTCTGTTTTGTATTTCTTCTTACCATTAGTGGATTATACGTGACTCCCCTTTGAGGATTGCAGCCTTATTGTTATTATTATTTTCTTGTGTGGCAATCTAGCGCTGATTTCTCACTTCCATTTTCTTTAATTCGGAACATCTGTAGGGCTCCCTACCCCTAACCCTACCCTTAACCCTATCCCTGTCATCATTCATGTAATTTTCCCTCCCTCTCGTTTTGACACTTTTCAGAAATCCAAAGCACTTCGGTATTTCCAAAATTCGGCACTTCGGCAATTCGGTTCGGCTCGACACTTCGGACATTCAGAAGCATACGAATGTCCGAATTTCCCGAAATTTGTCCGAATTTACATTCGCAATGAAACGAATTGCACATGTCTAGTCTTTACTGTATTTTCCATGACATTGCTGGCTCCCTGTGGACTCTTTTGCTCATTACACTCTATATAGCTTCACTATTTCTGCAGTATTTCTATGTGTTGTTGTTGATAGCCTATGTGTGTGTGAATACTGGGAAATTTTGGTATATAAATGTCATAGTGCATTAGTGTGGAGATGCTGTGTATGACTTCATGGAAAGATTTGTATTAAATGTCGATGTGTGAACATAGGAGTACATTTGAGCTGTATGTTGACTTTAGGAATGCAACAGTGAGGAGTGTGAGTAGTAAGCAGGGGTGTATATGTGTGAAATGTAAGCATATTTAAATGACGAGTGCATAAGTAATCTGTCTCAGCGTGTATGTGTGAACGAAGGGGTATAATTGAAATCTGTGTCATTCTGTGTGCCTGAGTGGACCTGATTACTGGTACTTAAAGCTGTAAGAGGCAAAATTATCCCGGCAATGGCCGCCAAGTGAAACACACGCCGCGTGGTGTATATCCTGAACCAGACAGATCCAAGTGAAAGAGACCTTGAAGTGAGTCCAGTATTTGAAACAACGGAGGGTGAAGTTGCCAATCGATTGCGTCTCTCCTGAACAGGAAGAACCAGTCCGCTACTTGATTGTCCTGTCCCGGGAGATATTCCACCACGAGTGAGATTATTGTCCAGACAGTACTGGTAGAAGTCCTTCGTGAGATGCGACAGCAGTTTGGAGTGGGAACCTCCCAATTGGTTTATGTAGCGGACCACGGAAATGTTGTGCATGAGGAGAAGCAGTGACTCTTCCCCTTGGTGAAGCTGCAAATGGTGAACGATCCTGCGATCAGTTCCAGGCAGTTGATGTGAAGGGCTTTCTCCTTTGGAGTCCAGAGTCCTCCTGTCACCACTCCATCACAGGCAGCGCCCCAGCCCATACAGCTAGCACCTGATTCCAGGACGCAGTCTGGTTGAGATGCGAAAATCGCCTTGCCATTCCAGGCCTCCATATGCCGAAGCCACCAATGGAGTTCCAGATGAGCTTCGGCTGAAAGCCACACGACTCAGTCGTATGAGGCTGCTGACCTGAGATAGCGAGCCTTCAGGCGTTTGAGAGCTCGACAGTGCAGAGGCCCTGGAAAGATGGCTTGAATGGATGATGACAACAGGCCTTTTGTCCGGGTCAGATTCCTTAGTGTGACCCTCGGGTTGCGCAGCAGGCGTCTGATATCCTTCCTGATGGCGATCACCTTGGACATCGGAAGCACCGCCTTAACCGAATCCACCACGAAGCACAGAAATTGGACCGACCAGGAGGGGTTCAGATCCGATTTTTCCACATTGATGATGAATGCCAGGTCCTAAAGCAGACAGATCGTGAGCGACGTCTGCTGACGCAGGACATCGGGATCCTGTGCCATCAACATAATATCTTCTAGATACACGATCGATCTGATCCCCCTGGCTCTCAGAGCCGCCATGACTGGTTTCAGCAGTTTGGTGAAGCACCAAGGTGCCGAGCTGAGGCCGAAGGGAAGGCACGTGAATTGCCAGATGTGATTCAGCCAGGAGAATTGAAGGAAACACCTGTCCTCGCTGTGGACAAGGACCGTGAAGTAGGCGTTCTTTAGATCCAGTCAAGCGTACCAATCGCCCTCGCAGAGCACGTCTCTGAGTAGATGGATACCTTCAATCTTGAAATGCCGGTAGACGACATCCGCATTGAGGGCATGCAGATTGATAATGGGGCAGAAGTTCCCCATCTTCTTCCTTACAAGGAAGATATTGCTCAAGAACCGAGGTGGTCCAGTCACCCTCTCCACTGCACCTTTGTCCAGTAGGGACATATTTCCGAATGGACTAGCTCGGATGCCTCTTTGTCCATGCGTATCGGTCGCGGAGCGGTGACCTGTCTCGAAGGTTCGATTAAATCGATCCTGAATCCGGACACGGTCTGCAGAACCCACGGGTCCCCTGTCATAGCCACCCACTGAGGGAAAAAATTGAGACAGTCTGCCCGCAATGGGTAAATTTGGCAAATAAGGATGGATTCTTACCTGAGGGGTATCTTGCCTTTGCGGAGGATGCACTGCATCCTCTGGAGGCTCCTCAAGAAAACAGCTGGCGGTATTGGTACCGGGATGAGGAGGAGGAGAAGGAGTCCGGAAGGCGGGGTCTGTTGCTCATGAAGGCAGCTCTGCTGGTGGCACGACCCCTCTGTCGACCAGACTTGGAGGAAAAACGATCCCCAGATCGGAAAACCCTCTTGAGGGACAACTGTGCCTTGTTGAGAGACGTATATATAGTGACGTGCCAGTTCAGTTCCTTCATGAAAGCATCCACAAATAACAGTCCTTTGGCATCAGGACCCAATTCCTGGACCGCCAAATCCGCCAGCTTGCCATCCAATTTGTACAGGGCCGCTTTGTGGCATTCGGAGGACAGTGCCACATTGGAATTACCTAATAAGCAGATGGCCCGTTGGGCCCATTCTCGGAGAAGGTCAACATCTACTGGGGTTCCACTTTGTAGTGCGTCCTCCGCCATGAGGAACATTTGTTGTCCAAAAAAACAAACAGAAAAGACACCAACATTGGTCTAGGAATAAAGTGGTAACATTGTCCTGCGTCATAATAATCGCAAAAAAGACGCAGGATATTAGATGACCTAGCATGGCGGATCCTTGTATTTTTCCAGACTGCAACCAAGATTGTACCAAAGTGGTAATATAAAGTGTATGCTTTTAGTGTGCTCACAAATTGACAAACTTTTGCTGTTTGACTACTTACCCTTGGAGGGTACCAAGGCACTGTTGTCAGCATAACAGCTACAGCGGGCTGCTGTGCTTATGGTGCTTGGAGTGGCCTTTTAAAGTGAGTATATGCATATTTCCCATGTCTGTTGTCCATCTGGGTAAAGGCGGAGGAGGGCAGTGACATCATTATGTCACGGGCACAGTCCAAATTACTGGCAGGTCAGCCTGGTGTGTATGTACGCCAGGCTGCCTGTCAATCATTTAAGCCAGGCCTGAGGTCAGACCCTGCAGGTAGCACTGTTTTAGTGCCCTATGCAGGGTTCTAGCTCCCTGAACATAGTGCTCTATGCTTGTTGGGAACAGTTTCCTAGTGTCTCCTAAACATGGGACACCAGTGAACTAATTTGGGACAGAAGGACAGGACACAAAATTTGGAAGGCCTGGTATATGAGCATGCAGTGAATGTAATCTGTGTCCGTGAGTGTATATATCAGAACGTAAAAGGAATTGTGAGTGGCACAAAGTAAATTACCAAAGTGAGAAATGTCAGGAATTCAAAGTGAATTTCGTATTTAAAGAAAAAGAAGCCAAGATGGATTGTTGACTATCAGGGTTATTTATTAAAGGGAGAATTCATAGCGAATTTGAAATTTAAAGGAACACTATAGTAACCAAAACAACTTTAGCTTAATGAAGCAGTTGTTGTGTATAGATTATGTCTCTGAAGTCTTACTGTTCAATTCACTGCCATTTAGGAGTCAAATTACTTTTGTTTCTGTTTATGCAGCCACACCTCCCCTGGCTGTGACTGACACAGCCTGCACGAAATTCTAAATTAAACAGATTGTGCAATAAAGCACATTTAAACATTAGAAGTCTCTTTATAGGAAGTGTTTAGGAATCCTGTGCAAGTCACATGCAGGGAGGTGTGACTAGGGCTGTATAAACATAGTTATTTAACTCATAAATGGTAGAGAATTGAGCAGTGAGACTGCAGGAGGACGATCTATACACCAAAACTGCTTCATTAACACCTAAAACCTGAGGGCGTACTATTACGCCCTATTCTAAGAGGCTCTAAAACGCCGCAGGGCGTAATAGTACGCCCTCACGTTTTTTCTTACTTACCTGGTCACCGGCGATCCCACGCCGGTGATCACGGTCGGGGGACTCACCTGGAATCCCAGGGAGTCCCCGCGGCAGATCCTGCCTCCTCCGGCCCCCCCCGGCCATGTGAGAGTGACGTCCTTGCGAGGACCTCACAATCACATGGCCGGGTTAGCTGGCTGCTGCATTGCCAGCAAGGGGACTGCCTGTAATGACAGTTAGTCCCCCTGCTGGCTGAATTCAAATAAACAACAGTTAAAATCAGTGTAAAAAAAATTCAAAAAAAAAAATTATATACTTAGATCATATATTATAAATTATTTATATGATCAGTGTGTATATATATATATATATATATATATATATATATATATACACACACACACACACTGTCTAGATGTATTTTACTATTAATATATATATATATATATATATATATATATATATATTAATATCAAATTACACGTAGACTGATACGGATTAAATATATATAATTATTGTTTTATATATATATATATATAAAAATGTAAATACGTTACAAAATAAAAATAAATAATACAAAAATATATAGATGTGTGTTATTTCGTTCTAACTGTATTGTGATATTAATATATATATTTATATCAAAATACACATAGAATGAAATAATATATATATATATATATATATCTCTATCTCTATCTATATACATAAATATATACACACACACACGTATGTATATACACATATATTAATTCTACATATATATTTATGTAATATTTTTCTATAATTAGGTGTTTTAATTAATTACAATTAGCGGGACCTGCCTGACAACCCATGCCGAGAGTAAAGGGAATTTAATTTGCTAGCACTATATTTAACCCTATAACTTTCCAGGACACCATAAAACCTGTACATGCAGGGTACTGTTTTACTCGGGAGACTTCGCTCAACACAAATATTAGTGTTTCAAAACAGTAAAATGAATTACAACGATGATATCGCCAGTAAAAGTGAAGTTTTTTGCATTTTTCATGCACAAACAGCACTTACACGGACGATATTATTGCTGCAATACTTTTTACTGTTTTGAAACACAAATATTTGTGTTCAGCGAAGTCTCCCGAGTACAACAGTACCCCTCATATACAGGTTTTATGGTGTTTTCAAAAGTTACAGCGTCAAATATAAGGCTTGTGTTTCATTTATTTTCACATTAAAATTCGCCAGATTGGTTACGTTGCCTTTGAGACCCTATGGTAGCCCAAGAATGAAAATTACCCCTATGATGGCATACCATTTGCAATAGTAGACAACCCAAGGTATTGCAAACGGGGTATGTCCAGTTTTTTTTAGTAGCCACTTAGTCACAAACACTGGCCAAAATTGGCATTTTTCGCATTTTTCACACACAAACAAATACTAACGCTAACTTTGGCCAGTGTTTGTGACCAAATGGCTACTAAAAAAGACTGGACATACTCCATTTGCAATACCTTGGGTTGTCTGCTATTGCAAATGGTATACCATTATTGGTGTAAATTTCATTCCTGGGCTACTATATAGTCTCAAAGGCAACGTAACCAATCTGGCGAATTTCAATTTAAAATGTAACGTGCTATATTTGACCCTGTAACTTCCCAAAACACCATAAAACCTTTACATAGGGGGTACTGTTTTACACGTGAGACTTTGCTGAATACAAATTTGTGTATTTTATAGCAGTAAAAGCAAACAGTATTATGACATTGACAGTTAAAATGTCACGTAGAACTAAAAAATTTTAAAAAAATTCTTATATTCTCCCATTTTTTTCATAGCTAAATATTTGATATTAAATGAAAGCCCTGTTTCCCCTGCATAAAATTATATATTATAAGTGTGGGTGCATTTAATATAAAAGAGGTGAATTACGGTTGGACAGACATGTAGCGCAAATGCCAGGTTTTGTTTACATTTTGTTTTGTTCACAACGTGTACATTTGGCTCCGTCCTTAAGGGGTTAAACAAGGGGTTAAGCTAAAGTTTTTTTTGTTGACTATGGTGTCCCTTTAACCCTTTAAGACCGGAGGGCGTACTATTACGCCCTATTTTAGGCGGCTCTAAACGCCACCGGGCGTAATAGTACGCCCTCCGATCTTTCTTTACTTACCCGGTCGCCGGCGATCCCACGCCGGCGATCGCGGTTGGGGGGACTCCCAGGGAGCCCCCCGCGGCACATCCGACCCCCTGGCAGCCCCCCCGGCCGTGTGAGAGTGAGGTCCTTGCGAGGACCTCACAATCACATGGCCGGGATAGCTGGCTGATGCATTGCCAGCAAGGGCGCTGCCTGTAATGACAGGTGGTCCCCCTGCTGGCTGGAAATCAAATTAAATGAATTTATTTAATAAAAGTTAAATAAGTGTAAAAAAAAAAATACATGTAGAATGAAATAATATATATCTATATATATATAAATATATACGTATATATCACTATAAATATATATCTATATATAAATAAAAATAATTTTAAAAAATTTATATATATATATAATATATATATATACACACACACACATATTCACATATATATATATATATATATATATATATATATATATATATATATATATATATTTGTGCTCGGAATTTAATATGAAATGGATAATGTCAGAGATAAAGTTGGTTGTGGTGTGCCGAAACCAACGTCCGAGTGGGCCTGTAAATAAAAGAGGGCAAAGAGAAGTTCGAAAAAACACACTTTATTGCATTTGGTTACATGACTAAATTCCTGAAGGCTTGGCGAAGTTCTCTTTCTGGCCGTGGAATATAGGTATTGTATATAGAGGACTTCCAGTGGCCCAGTCTCTTAATGATGTGGACCGGTGTGTTAGTGCTAGAAGCTGATGAAGCGGCCCCTATGCGAAAGGAATGCCCGGAGAATGAAGATGGGTTGTAACCCAATTTTCCCAGTAAGGTTCTGACATAAGTGGTGAATTTTGCTGTAGTGAGTGGGTGCCCTTGTAGTTGTAATAGTGGTGAGTCTGGTAGGTGTGTGCTATAAGCTGACCGTAACATGTCTAGTGTCTTAACTGGGCACCAAGCATTGTCTGTTGGAAAGAGAGGAATAATAGTGGGGTGTAGGGACTGATTTGTTTTGGTAGATGGGATTGTGAGAATGTAATAGTCGTCTTTTTTAGTGAGTTGTGAGGTTTTGAGGCTGTGAGTGGTATCCCCTTGACAAATGACAGTAAATTCCCTAGGTCTTAAGAACCCATAAAAAGCCAAATAGATTGCAGATTTGATCACCAGGTTAGTGTTGGGATCAAAAGGGGATTCGTCGAGGAGGTTGCTCAGCAATCTAAAGATAGGCCCATCTATAGGTAGTCTGGTGGTGATAGGTGGAACTGATACTTTAGAGATCCCCTCTAAGATTTTCTTTATGGGGTATGATGATAAAAAGGGGGTGTTGTTAGGGAAATTTGTGAGGCTGTGGTGCTGCACCCCCGTGAGGTATAGTTTTATGGTGTTGTGGGAAAGTTTTAAATGTAAATGGCAAAAAGAGGCAAAAGCCACCATAGTTTGGGTTGAGAAATCACCTTGTAATCCGAATTCAGCAGTAAATTTGTTGAAAATGGTGAGTGCCCTACTGTAGGTGATAGTAGTGTTTGGTGACAGTGCTTGGTGCGTAAGTGTCCTAGCGTGGTGCATCAGTGTGTTTAATCCAAGATTAGCTCGTGAAAATTCGGTGTTCTGGATGGTTGATGGTGGGCTGACGGGAGTGCCTGGAAAAACACCTGAAATTGAGATCGAGACAGAGTGTCAGCAGCCGTGTTGTGAATACCCGGGATGTGAAGGCAAATTAGGTGGAACTGGATGGTTGCTGCCAACCAGGTCAGCTTGCAAATCAGCCTCATAATGGTAAGAGAGGATGAGCGCCCTTTGTTGATGATATCGCAAGCTGACGAGCTGTCGGAATAACACTTTACTGCCTTGCCGGACCAGAGGTGACCCCAAGTGTGTGAGGCTGCCACAATGGGGTAAATCTCAAATAGAGCTGAAGTTTCTCTAAACCCCGGCAAGGCATCCGTCTCAGCTGGCCAGTGACCCCTAAACCAGTGATTACCAAATATAGCTGCAAAACCTGTGTTGGCTGCAGCGTCAGTGTAAATGCAGGGAGAGGAGTCTGAGAGGGGGGGGAATAAACATGGAGATACCGTTCCATAGGGACAAAAACTGCCCCCACATGCTTAGGTCAGCTTTGGCGTGCTGGTCCAACGCAATAGGGCAGGCGTCCGGTACCCCATGAAGCAGACAAAGGAGCCTGGACACAAAAGATCTGCCCTGCGGAACGATGCGCATTGCAAAATTCAGGGACCCCAATAAGGACTGAAGTTCTTTCCTGGTGCATACATCGCTCCGCAGGAACCTGTCTATTTCCCCTCTCAGGCGGATGAGTTTTTCAGTGGGAAGGCTGGCGCGGAAGGTAGCAGAGTCTAGCTCTACGCCCAAGAAAGTGAGTTTGGTGGTGGGGCCAATTGTTTTAGCAGGAGACAAAGGTACCCCGAGGGTGTAAAAAAGTGCAGAGGTGCTGAGGATATCGGTGGGTGTGCGTGTGCTTGGTTCTATGATGAGGAAGTCATCCAAGTAGTGAATGACGGCGTGACACCTAATAATGTTCAGAAGCAGCCAGCATAGCGTTTCCGCGAAAATATCAAAGAGTTTGGGGCTGCTTCTGGAACCGAAAGTGAGGCGCGTGGAAAAATAGTACCTGTTACGCCATTTAACACCGTGCAAGTGCCAAAGTGATGGGTGTATGGGCAGTAGTTTGAAAGCGTTGGTAATGTCTGTTTTGCTAAGCCAAGCATTGCTGCCAGTTGATATGATGGTTTGTATGGCGTCGTCTATTTTAACGTATTGTAGTGAGAATTCATCTGCAGGGATGAGTGCGTTGATGCTAGGAACAAAAGAGGAGTGCGGTGCAGATAAATCAATAATCATACGTTTTTTATTTGAATATTTGTGTACAGCTATACCAATAGGGTTAGTGCGCCAGGAGGAAAACGGTGAGGAGGTGAAGGGGCCGATCATGAACCCTTGAGTTATTTCTGTGGAGAGGAGAACGTCCGTGGCCTCCGGGTCTAGACAGGCTGAAAGGAGATTAGGGCATTCCAGTATCCCTGAGGGGATGGCCACGAGACCCGTGTGAAAACCCTGGGTAAACCCTGTAATTAGAAACTCCACCAGATGTTTACTTGGGTGATCTTTAAGGTAAAAGGCCAGGTTGTCGATATTAACATCGGTTAGTCATTTGTTAGGGGACAACCTGGCCGGACACATGGTCTTAGTGTGTGCCCTGTAACAGATGGAGCAGATGTGCAACAATCTACAAGCGCTGAAGCTGCAGGAACCTGCATTGAAGTTGTTGCACACCTGCGCCTTCCCCAAAAAGGAGATGGGCCTGCCTAGTTTATCCCTCTGTCCGCCTTCCTGTTTAGGGTGAGGAGTGGAAGAGGATTGAGGGGTGGGAGTGGGGGTGGATGGGTCAGCCATAGAAGGGCACAGATCAGCCAAGTGGGTTGAGTAATTGCATATGGCGCAAGACGGGGGCCTCAGACCAGCGAAGTGGCGACAGAATAGTTCTGTATCCATCTGACACCAGTTAATTCTTACATTAAACTGTTTCAGATGGGTCGCCGCTTTCGCCGATATCGATTTATGATAATCATAAAAAGATGAGCCCCCGTACTTAACGCCCAAATCCACCACTTTATGGAGATAGAGGTCCAGTTCCTCTCTCCTGTGGGGATATACCGAGCAGATGACATCCCGGTATATCCCGAAGGCCAACACGAAATTGGGAATTGACAACTTTTTGTTGAGCCTTGGGTCTCTGGTTTTAAGAACCACCGAGATATCGCCAAAATTATAAGCCCTGTTCACCAGTACGTCTTGGGAGGCAATAAGTAATGACACCAGACACACATCCTTCCCATCTAGGATTTCCTTCCTAATGGAGTCTGGGACGGAGTGTGCTGGTGACATGAAAGGCGACATGACTGGAGCAGGAGCTGGAGGGGGAAGTGTAGGGACGGGTGTTGGTGCCATAGGTACAGCCGGGATTGGGGCTATAGAAACAGGAAGGTTACCTTGACTTTGAGAGCTTGTGCCAGGCCTAGGCTCTGGGGCTTGGTTGGTCAACAGTCTGTATAATTCTGCCTTTCGGGTCGTAGCCGGAAAGGGGATGCCCCTGAGCCTAAGTTCGGCCGTGATTTTAGGTATAGTCCATGTTCTGAAAGACGTAGGGGTAGAAGGGGCGAGAGATACTCCTGGGGACTCTGGTCTGATAGGAGTAGATATTATATCCTCATCAGGTACCTCGTCCATGGGAGATGTGTCTTGCGACATTCTAGAAATGAATTAAATGAGTTGGGTTTAGTAGGGGCGTCTGAGAAAATTATTTCAAGGGGGGGAGGGGGAGGATTGCTTATGTGAACTGGACTGTAGGAATAAATGCCGAAGCGAAAAACTTAACTTAGACTAGTGACGGTTGAGGCCCTGCTAGTGCCAAGTGGCGGTGAGAGGCTCTATCTATGATTTGGGTGAAGTGGATTATGTTGCCACAGATGTGGTGGCGGGATGTTGGCCTCTCGGTGACATTTAAAAGGTTCAAACGTGTGGCCGTGACGAGTGAGGCCCTAACTACGGCCCTGTAGAAGTTCGAATGAGGCGATTAACTATGATTTGGGCGTGGGGCCATACCTCCGTGTTGAGGTTTGGGAGATGGTTTGTAAATGCCTCGGTGAGCTAGGTCTGACGTACAGACCCTGTGAGCCAGTTCACGTAACAACTATGGGAAAAATTGGCGTTTTATGTGCTGGTAGGATACTAACCTTGATAGAGATTATATTCGTGGACTTGTTTCTTCAAGTATATGAAAGAGAGGTCCAGTGGTTGGTGATGTCGTAGCAGAAGCCTAAGGGGTTTGAGACAGATGTAGATCTGAGTGAGCGTGGCGAATTGGCTCAATATGAGTTAAAGGGGGGCATGGATGGGTAAACGAGTGGCAAAATGGACCGTGAAGGCTGTCTGCGGCCTTTTCATGGGAAGCTGAAGTAACGTACTGAAGATTAAAGAAAACTATACCTGGATAAGGTACAAATAGCAAGGTTTTCTCCGATTTAGACAGGGCAAGTTGTTGATGCTATCGTAGTAGAACCTAAGGGTTTGAGACAGATGTAAATCTGAGTGGCGTAACGTATGAGCGCAGAGTGAGTTGACAAATGTAAATTGTTGGCTGCCTGAGTTTCCTCAAACAGGAAATAAAGTAAAATAAATACTATACCTGGATTAAAGGACAAGCATCAGGGTTTTTAAATATAGAATGAGTGAAACGGTTGGTGCTAGCGTAGAATGGAAACCTGGATTTAAGTATAAGAACCCCGGTTTTTTTATAGCAATTTTGCCGTAATATATGGCGAAGTGCGATCTGTGGAGATCAAAGAAATGTTTTTTTTTGTTTTTTTTTTATAGGGCTAAGATTAATTCGCACGTTTAAGGCATGATAACATTGTGTAAATAGTAATTTAATTGCAGGGAAGCTGCATATTATACAGAATAAAACAGTAAGTACCATAAAAACCCACTAGGTGGCGATGACAGCCCAATAAACTAGATCTGTGAACTGATACATAAAATATATGGAAAAGTATGAATGAACGTCATGTGATACATATGCCATGCATAATATGGTAAAAACTGTCAAGCCTTCCTTTTCCCATACAATAAACAGCATAGCCTCTTATAACAGCATGAGTTTGGAACAAAATATATACCCCTAGCATCAAATAACGATTTTTGGATTTTTAAGACCGTGAGGGGGCGAGGGGGGGGGTGTAGGACCCCCCAGACGGGTGTATGAAAGAGACCGAGTAGATGCTGGCGTGAGGGGAACGTGGTTGGTCCCCGGTAAGATTTCCCTGTCATTAGTGTTCCTGCCCCCCGCTGAACCACAGAGCGATGTGGAGGGGACCGGAATAAGAGGACTCACGGTTGGGAAGCAGGACCGCCGAAAGCACGGAGGGGTCTGCCGGACCGCCGGTAGCACTGGGGATACAGCAGGACCGCCGGTAGCACTGAGGGTTCTGCCGGGCACTGGAAGTACAGCAGGACCGCCGGTAGCATGGAGGATTCAGCCGTGCAGCTGATACACGAGACGCCCGGACCGGAAATGACGCAAATGTGAAGACTCGCGAACCGGAAGTAGAACAAGGAACACTTGAACTCGAACGTCAGAGGTGAGTAGGGGCTGGGTGTTTAAGTAGGGGACTTACTCCTCCCACAAATTCAGGCCTAATGGCCTTTCTACATATATATATATATATATATATATATATATATATATATATATATATATATATATACAATGCTAAACAAAAATCTGCACACCAGTCAAGCCATAAGACTTGCTTTTCCCACAGAAATCCCAAATCAGCAGTGATGTTACAACCGCAAAGGATTCTGGGTGGGCATATGCAAATTAGTTTAACAAAGAATCACATTGGCTTGACTGGTGTGCAGATTTTTGTTTAGCATTGTATTAACTATCCACATACTTCAGGTGGAAGGGGTTTTCAATCACAATTTTTCCCCACCATAACCTAATTATATATATATATATATATATACATACATACATACATACACGCACACACACACATATATTAATTCTACATATATATTTATGTAATATTTTTACATAATTAGGTATCTTAATTAATTACAATTAGCGGGACCTGCCTGACAACCCATGCCGAAAGTAAAGGGAATTTAATTTGCTAGCACTATATTTAACCTTATAACTTTCCAAGACACCATAAAACCTGTACATGGGGGGTACTGTTTTACGCGGGAGACTTCGCTCAACACAAATATTAGTGTTTCAAAATAGTAAAATGAATTACAACGATGATATGGCCAGTAAAAGTTATGTTTTTTGCATTTTTCATGCACAAACAGCACTTACACGGACGATATTATTGCTGCAATACTTTTTACTGTTTTGAAACACAAATATTTGTGTTCAGCGAAGTCTCCCGAGTACAACAGTACCCCTCATGTACAGGTTTGATGGTGTTTTCAAAAGTTACAGTGTCAAATATAAGGCTTGTGTTTCATTTTTTTCACATTAAAATTCGCCAGATTGGTTACGTTGCCTTTGAGACCCTATGGTAGCCCAAGAATGAAAATTACCCCTATGATGGCATACCATTTGCAATAGTAGACAACCCAAGGTATTGCAAACGGGGTATGTCCAGTTTTTTTTAGTAGCCACTTAGTCACAAACACTGGCCAAAATTGGCGTTTTTTGCATTTTTCACACACAAACAAATACTAACGCTAACTTTGGCCAGTGTTTGTGATTAAATGGCTACTAAAAAAGACTGGACATACCCCATTTGCAATACCTTGGGTTGTCTACTATTGCAAATGGTTTGCCATTATGGGTGTAAATTTCATTCCTGGGCTACTATAAATTCCCAAAGGCAACGTAACCAATCTGGCGAATTTCAATTTAAAATGTAACATGCTATATTTGACCCTGTAACTTCCCAAAATGCCATAAAACCTGTACATAAGGGGTACTGTTTTACATGTGAGACTTTGCTGAATACAAATATGTGTATTTTATTGTAGTAAAAGCAAACAGTATTATGACATTGACAGTTAAAATGTCATGTAGAACTAAAAAACAAAAAAAATCGTATTTTCTCCCATTTTTTTCATATTAAATTATGTTTCATAGCTAAATATTTGATATTAAATGAAAGCCCTGTTTCCCCTGAATAAAATGATATATAATAAGGGTGGGTGCATTTACTATGAAAGAGGTGAATTACGGTTGGACAGACATGTAGCGCAAATGCCAGGTTTTGTTTACATTTTGTTTTGTTAACAATGTGTACATTTGGCTCCGTCCTTAAGGGGTTAAATCCAGAGTAGCTGAACTGAAATCATAATAGAGGTGCTAGATATTTTTTCCCCAGTTTAGTGAATATCCCTGATTCCCTGTTGGAGAATCTTCCCAGTTCAGCCTCTGTGACTTTTAATTTGAAATGTGTGTAAGTGAGTATGTATTGACTGCACACTGTAGGATAAACTAGCAGAGGTGTAGGATATATTCACAATGACCTGAAACGCGCTGCTTAGTGAATATACCCAGTGACGTCATCGCCAGCTGACCATGTCCTGAGCGCATGCGCCGCCGTAGCCCAGCCCCCGCTTCGCAGAGCATGTCGGGAGTTCTGTTCGAATCACCTGGCGGTTCTCCCATCCAGTGAGTGCCTGCACCAGCTCGCTGTGCGTCTCCTGCCGCTCTCAGACCCTCTCTCCCGGGGCGGACATGGACGAACGGGAGTCTAGAGGCTCCGGTGACTGCAGCCTCGGGATTGATCCTCAGCTGGCGGAGAAGTATGAGCGGTGAGTGCAGCTCCAGATGGTTTATATCGGGTGGCCGTGCTAAACACTAGAGATAAATGCATTGTGTGCTGCTCATAGGATTCATGTAGCGGGTGGACGTGCTAAACACTAGAGATAAATGCATTGTGTGCTGCTGTGTAACCCAGGGACAGAAAGGGTTATGTTATTAATGCCAGGCATGTGGGGTAACTGCAGGTGATGAATACAAATGAGAGAATAGCTGAGATTCATCATTTAAATAGATCTATAGGGTCTTCATGCTAGTGGCCTGATACACTGCTGTTTATCACTAACTAGTGGTTCCATATAGAAACTGCCAGGCTAACATGGTCAAGTTGTGAATAAAATTGATTTTTTTTTTTTTTTTTTACTTTATTACTATTTCAACCTTTCTTGTGTCATTTGGTTTTCAATTAATTATAATACATTTTACAATGTTTTTCCTATTATGGAAATATAGTATATTCGTTGCAGCTACACCAATAAGTAAATGCACTTAATTACCTGATTGGACAGCTGCTATGAAAAAAATACATATTTTACTTTGCCTTAAAGCGGCACTGTCACAACTCTTTCTCCCCCTCCCCGTCCCACCCCGAAAAAATAGTATTTCATACAGATAGAATCTTTCTGAAATATTAATTTTGACTGAGAATTTCACTGAATTTCCAACCGAGTCAAGAGTTATACAGAGATAAAGTTGGGACTACTTTTGTTTCTGTATATTTTCTCACTGTGACTTTCCTAGACTCTTGGCAGAGTCCTAGAGTTACAGGGTCATTTCTGACAACCAGCACAAGGGACAGCTGTAGGGAATTGGCTCTCTATAGTATAGAGCAGGGGTTCTCAACGGTAGACTAGAGTCTAAGGTGTTGTTTTTCCCCCTTTTTCTAAACACCTTAGACACACCCAGGTAATCCCCAAATCCTGGACTGGTAGGGGGTGCCGAGGACTGGGTTGAGAACCCCTGGTATAGAGGGTCTTGCGGGATCCTCCATGGACTTCAAAGTGAATTCGGCTTTAGAGGGTCTGCTGGCACAAGATGGCACCACCTGCGAGGGACAAGTTTAGGTAATTAAATCTCACCTTTGCCCAACCGGCATTCACATCCCGGCAGCGATGTCGCCATCAGGGGTCTTTGTAAATTCAGCAAAGTTCCCAGGCGGTGACAGTGACTCTTTAAAGCAAAGCTTAGGGCACATAAATCACTTCGGCTTGCTGAAATTTTTTAGGGATGAAATTACACTCTAACCTACAGAACTACCGTCTAAAGGAAGGCTAAAGCGTTGGGAATACAAACCTGTATTTCTAACACTTTATTGTCCCTGTCCCTATTTAAAAACAGGTGTTCTTACCCCTCCTCCTTGACATATAAAATAAATAAAAACATTTACTTGCTTTTCTACCTGTTTACCTCTCCGCCTCCCAGGATGTCACTTATCTGCCGATGTCCAATCCATAGAGGAGCATTGGAGACACAATGTGTGCGTGGGGTTTTCCTATAGGAAAGCTTTAAATTCTTTCTTGTAAGAGGTTCCACGATAGTTTTACTCGATCAGTAACCTGGATGTGCCTCTAGTAGTCTCTTAAAAACGACATAGTTTTATATTGCAGTATTACACCTGCATTTTCCCAATCCATAACAAGCCTCTCACACAAAGGATGGCAGCATAGCACATATTTATTTTCAAACTTGCTTAAACAAGATGATCCCAGATTGCAAATGGGAAGCTTGTGCTCTACATGCAGCCCTTGGGCTGCTTGCTGGACAGCACTGAATTATGCAGTTGCTCCAACACAGGCATGAATTAATAACTAGCCTCTTACCTATTCATACACATGCTTGAAGACACATGCAAAAGCGCACACACACACACATAGCTATTCGTACTGATATATGTTCAATGACCGAATTGTTGGTTCAAAGGGACAGTTTTATAGGTTCTTTTGGACTGTGATGTTGGGAAATATGATGGGCTACAGAACCGGGTCTCTTCTAGTTAACTATTATAGCTTTTTGCCTATTCAAATTAAATATTGCATGTAAGGGTGTGACTTTACCAATTTCAATGTATCTAAACTTAACCTCTAACCTGGTTGTGGTCAAGTTGCTCAAATAATTTGACCAAGAACCAGGGGTTGGCACCCACAGCCCAATGACACCAGAACCACTACATCAGTATGCAGTGCCTAAACTGTCCTTTTAAGAGCATACTGATACGAAAACTTTTTTTTTTTTTCTATTCTGCAGGTACGTGAGAGAAGCAAAACATGAAGCAAAGAATGGAAACATCTCGAAGTCCATTGAGCTTTTCCAAAAGGCAAACTGCATATATCCCAGTGAGAAACTAAAGGGCCGTATAGAAAAACTTGAAGAGGCTCTTCAACAGCTTGATCTAGAGGAAGAACAAGATGATGAGTTTGTGGACGTGTTAAGCAGTGGTCTGATGATCTATAAGGATTTGTTTAATAAGCTGTTTGAGCACCAAAGAGAAGGAATTGCCTTTCTTTACGGTTTGTACAGAGATGGACGTAAAGGAGGCATTTTGGCAGATGACATGGGCCTGGGAAAGACTATCCAAATTATTGCATTTCTTTCAGGAATGTTTGATGCTGAACTTGTAAAATGTGTTTTGCTGATAATGCCAACTACACTAATAAGCAACTGGATAAGAGAGTTTGAAAAGTGGACTCCAGGCATGAGGTTTCATGAGTTTCATGGTACAAGCAAGAAAGAGAGGATTATAAAACTTGAAAAAATCCAGAGAAAGGGGGGAATACTAATAACAACTTATCAAATGTTGATTAATAACTGGCAGCAAGTATCTACCTACAATGGCAGGGAGTTTGAATGGGACTATATTATTCTTGATGAAGCCCATAAAATCAAAACCTCATCAACAAAGACAGCCAAGTCTTGTTACGCAATCCCTGCCAAAAATCGTATTCTTCTGACTGGCACACCTGTCCAAAACAACCTCCGAGAGATGTGGTCACTTTATGATTTTGCCTGTCAAGGAACATTACTGGGTACTTTAAAGACATTTAGAATGGAGTATGAAAATCCAATTACACGAGCTAGAGAGAAAGATGCCACACCAGGTGAAAAAGCTCTTGGGCTCAGAATGTCTGAAAACCTCATGAAGATTATACAACCCTATTTCCTGCGACGCACAAAAAGTGATGTGCAAAAGAAAAGACCACCTGAAACGCAAACTGCCATGGAGAAAAGTAATATCTCTCCTGCAATGCCATCTCTTACAAGAAAGAATGACTTGATAATATGGGTGTACTTATCGTCCATTCAGGAAGAAGTGTACCGCAAATTTATTTCTCTGGACCAAATCAAAGAATTACTAATGACTACTCGTTCTCCTTTAGCAGAATTAAACATCCTAAAAAAGTTATGTGATCATCCCAGATTGCTCTCTGCGCGAGCCTGCATTCAGCTTGGTTTGGATGAAGATGATTACCAGCTTGGAGAAGGTGATCATGAGGCACTTACAAAGTTTGATCATCTTTCAGATGATGCTTTGATGGAGGAATCTGGAAAACTGATGCTTTTGATTAATCTTCTACATAAACTGAAAGAGGAGGGCCACAGATCTCTTGTCTTTTCCCAGTCACGGAAAATGCTGGACATGATTGATCGCATCTTGTGTAACAGGGGTTTTAAGATAATGCGTATTGATGGTACTGTGTCCCTACCAGAAAGGGAGAAGGTTATAAAAAAGTTCCAGTGCAACAGTACTTATTCTGTATTATTGTTAACAACACAAGTTGGAGGTGTTGGGCTAACTCTCACTGCAGCTGATCGTGTAATCATCTTTGACCCCAGTTGGAACCCAGCTACTGATGCTCAAGCTGTTGACCGAGCCTACAGAATAGGACAGCAAGAAAATGTGGTTATTTACAGACTTATCACTTGTGGAACAGTAGAAGAGAAGATTTACAGACGACAGATATTCAAGGACTCTTTGATAAGACAAACAACTGGAGATAAGAAAAACCCTTTCCGATATTTCTCAAAGCAGGAGCTAAAGGAGTTGTTTTCTTTAGAGGATACCAGAACATCTTCAACACAGATTCAGCTTCAGAATATGCATGCAGCTCAAAGGAAAACTGACATTCATCTAGATGAACACATTGCTTACTTGCATACATTGAACATATTTGGCATTTCTGATCATGACCTTATCTATGCACATGAGGTGCACTCTCAAGATGATGACGATCAATGTGAAGATGAACATCAAGGTCAATACATTAAACAAAGAGTACAGAAAGCTCACGAGCTAATGCAGATGGAATCACAGATGAACGAGCAACTTATGGAACAGATCCGAAAAGGAACTGAAGGAGCCTGGTTAAGACAAGTTGATGTATCTGAGAAACCAAAGGAAAGACGCGTTTCTACTCCAAGGCAGTTCAACTCTCTGCCTGAGACTGTTGACCTCACCGAAGATGATATTGGTAATGTCAGCTGTCAGATGACTAGTATGGTATTAGATTCTAGCGGGGATGAAGTTGAAAAGCTGCCTCCTGCTCCTTTTATCAGTTCATTGCCTACTGTTGAAAATGGAAGTATTCATAGTAGTATGTCTCCTGCTAATTCAGAGACTAAAAATTTAAACAATTCTGCAAATGTAAACAATTCAACATCCTCCTTCAATAATCATAAAAATAGTTTTAGTCCTTCTAGTATAAAAACTGATGTGGTTGTAAATGATGACCATGCAGAGCCATTACATGAAAACCCTGTATTAGATTATGATACGGCCTTGGCAATCCGTGAAACCATCCCGATGTCTAAACCATTGCACAATATGTCAAATGAAACTTCAAGTCAATCTGAAAACCTTTGTAGTACAAATAGAGACCTGCATAAGTCTGCAGTAGATATGGAAAAAGACAATTTTGAAACTAGCCAACCTGTGAGCAGGCCCCAGTTACAGTGTGACTTTAATCTTATTCTGGATGATTCTATGGAAAGAGATATGTGTAATGGATCTGTAGAGGAGTTGGAAAGTTTTATGGAAACCTCCATGGCTCAGGAAAAGGCGCCAATGCTGGTACTAGAAGATTCTATAGAAATGAATGAACGTAGTAAACACAAAGAATCAATACATAGAGCAAAACAAGACATGGAAGTCCAACATAGTATGGAAAACAATTGTTTTGAGTATACAGAAAGAAGTACTGATGAAAAGAATGATTTGAGCAATAAAAGCAAAACTGAAACTAATAATGAGGATTTGCAATTGAAAATAGACTTGGAGAGTGAGGATGAGGAGGAGATGATCTACACCTCTAAAAGAAAAGCTGTAAAAAGAGTCTTATCTGATAGTGAAACAGACAATTCTGTGTTTCTTATTGAGGAGAATGACATTAATTCGTCTTTTAACAGTCCTTCCATGAAAGCAATAATTGCTTCTACACCAAAGTTTGAAAAGTCTGTTATGGGCACACTTTTTTCCCAGGGAAGGAGTAATGGAAGACGCAGATCTATTGCATCTAGAAGGTCTTTTATTCAAGTTGCAGTTGAAGAAGCAACAGATCTTCCAGAGACTATTGATGATGGCAGTGCTGATGAGAGTGAAGAGGAGGAAGAAAAAGAATATGTAAGTGATGAGGCCAAGGAAGCTGAAGATGAAGAGTCTGTACAGTTAGAGGAGGAGCCAGTTGGGAAGACGCTACCTCAAGAAGAAAGTATTGTGCATTCACAAGATGAGTATGAATCTGATAGTTTTGTAGTTAAAAGTTCCGACCAAGAGGAAGACTATAGCACACATGAGTCTACCGGAGAGGTGGAACTTACCTCTGGAGAGCAAGTAGACTGTCTTTCTCAAGAAACCACAAGTGTCCAAGGAGGTGGTAGTACATTTAATGACAGCTACTCTTCCCTGGTGAAACGTGGAAAGGACTTAAAAGATGCTGGATGTGTGAAAGAAGCATTAGACTGTTTCTTAAAAGCCCTTGACATAAAATCAGGGGACAGTGAGGTAATGATGATCACATTAAACTTATATAGACAGCTGTCATAGTTCTAAATGTAGACGTCAGACACATCTAATCACTTGCTGAACTTGCACATCTCTGTAGAAATAGTTCATAACTTTCTGCATTACTTATTAAAAAAAAAAAAAAAATACAGCCATTGTCTTTTCTGTTCGAGCCACATTTCCTCCTCCTTATTTTGTCCTATTTTATTGCTGCTTGTTTAAGACCATTTATAAAGCAGAATTATCATAGAAACAAAATAACATTTGGACTTTATTACTTGACCATTCACTTCAATGTTCATACTGTTAACTCTATTATATATGTCAACTTGAGAAAATAAATTGTTAAATGTTCTTTACCTGGAAAAAACTGTCTGTAATATTGGGTTTATATAGATGCAAATTGGTGAAACATTTGTATCTACTCCGAGAAATTGATGTTTTAGTAGCAGTATTTAGCCAAATGTGCACAGTTAGTCAGAGATGATTGATCAATCATAAGGAACAAAGAAGCTTGTTCCCAGTTAAGATCCAGCTGATTAGCTAATGATGTAAAATGGATTCTTACAAAGTGCCCCTACACATTGAAATCCTACTCTGCATACTTTGTGTTGTTAAAGATTATCACCGAGAGCCTCTAACATTTTAAGGAGACAACTGCTTTTAATTGGAGTTTTTTACCCACTCTCCCTGCTCTTGGTGGTAATTTTTTTTTTTTCTCTTGATACCTAGAGCTGGTGCTGGACTAGTTCACCATCTCATTCTGTTCAACTTCTAAGACTTAATCTGTCTTTGGTCACTAGTTCAGCCTTACTGCTTTGGGGCTCACTTGTTTGAGAAGTATGTTTATCCTGCACTTTTCTATTCTCGTACAAGGAAAAAAAGTTTCAATGTAAAACAATGTATTTTGTAAATAAATAAATATGCTTATGTTAATGACACGCGGCTTCAAAACATTTACATATTTCTTGCAAACGTTGCTTTTTTGTGTGCAGTCTTTAGTGTAGTCTGTTAAATGATTTTAAGGCAGGAAATCAGACTTGTCTGAATTAGGGAAAAAAAACTATACATGTGTTGCCTGTACAGTTTCAAAAGCCTTTTACACTATAAACTATGCTTGGAGCCTACATGCACTGACTCAATTTTAGTTTAATGAAATGGGTTTGGTGTCTAGATCAGGCTCAATTTTCTGCCATTTATGTAGCAATACCCACACATCCCCTGCATGTGACCTATGCAATCTTCCTGTACATTTCCTGTCTAATGTTTAAACTTCCTGTATTGCACGCTGTTTAATTTTGTTGATAAAATTATCAGAATAGCCTGCAGGAGCCTCAAGTGTGATTCAAGTTGTATTAACAGAGCAGGAGATAGCATATCTAAAAAAACACACAGTGTTGTAAGGTCTGAAAATTAAACATTTTCATGTTGGCTATGGGGAGGTGTGACTAGATCTGCATAAACATAAACCAAAATGATTTAATTTCTAAATGTCAGTTGCATTACAGGTAATGATCAATGCACTAGATTCATTAAGCTAGTTGTTTTGGTACTTCAATTATCTATTTAAAGTTGGGGAAGTTACCTGATTAGTAGTGAAGGATTTGAATATGCTAAGTGAAAACTCCAAAATCATCATACTTTTCTGGTTTTATCATTCGCAGAGTTCATAACTAAAGTGAGAATTCAAAGTGAATTTCAACTTTTTAGGTTAAAGTGTCCAAATTGACTTAGAGAATCCTTTCCAATTCAGCTATTGTGAACTTAAGTTTTTCAGTGTCACACCTGTACATTCTTCTAGAACTGGGGTAGACAACCTTTGTCACTTCAAATGATGTGGACTGAACCTTACCTGATGCATTGCCAGTATTATAGCTGAAAGAGCATCATGGGAGGTGTAGTTCATAACATCTGAAGTGCCAAAAGTTGCCTACCCCTGGCCTAGAAGATTATAGAATGTTAAGCAAATCATCCCTGTAGCAGCATTTAGTTGTATTTCATAGTTTCTAAGAATATAGCAAGCCTCTTGTGTTTCACATTGTATCATCCATTCATGTAATTTCAGTGTGAGTGGTAGTTTCACTTTAATTTAGATACAAATAGGCAGGCAAATATAGCATTTACCGATAGTGTTGCATTGGATAACAACATATGATTGTTTACTAGGAGAATTCCTTAAACTAATTATTTTTATTAGGCTAACCCCTTCATAATTGAGACATGTTTCCCCAATGCTGTGTGTTAGTGATCTTTTTGGACTTTTGCTATGTGTTCTACTGTAATGTAACACTTTTTACCTTTTAAATGCACTCATAAATCAAAACATTTGACACAGTGTCTTCACTCTGCAAGTTGAAAAAGAAGCAAGTCAATAATACATATTTTTTTGTTTCATATGTAACTGCCTCATTCTTATGCTTTTTGCACCCAAGGAAGGGGGGAGAAGAAAGGGAGTCTGATCAAAGTGAGCATGCTTCAGTATGATTTCTCTCAACTGTGGTTGCACAATGATGCCGTGTTTGTCATAAGTGGTCTGGTCATACACATCTCAGTTAAATTAAAGGAACACTATAGGGTCAGGTATCCAGCCACCCCTTCTCTCTCCCCCCCAATATGAAAAAAGGTGGTTTACTTACCTTTTTACAGCGCCGCATAAGTTGCAATGTGGCTGTTGTCCCCGTCAATGCTTCATCTCCTTGGTGGAGTTAATCAATTTGGATGAACTCGGCATATCCAGTATTTTCCCATAGTAAAGCATTTGGAGGCTATTGCGCATGCCTGCCAAAACGCCTTACTGCGCCAATCAGTATCTCCTCATAGAGATGCATTGAATCAATGCATCTCTATGGGGAGCGTTCAACTTTTCCATGCAGAGTGTAGAGATGCTGAATGCTAGTATGTACTAGGCGAAACTACATCCACAATATTTTTGGGAAAGTTACTCTCAAATCCTCACTCCAACAAGACACAGAATATTTGTTTCTGGTGTAAACACACCTTTTCCTCCCCTGGTTCATTTGCTCTAATTAGATTACTCCATGCTAGTATACTAGGATAAAGCACCACAAGAGGCAGAGCAGTGGTTCGGGGGGGGGGTTCTTTATTTCTGCAATTCTGGCATGTTCGGTTTGTGCATATGGAGTCACTGGGACTGGATGCCAGCAAAATGGCGCTTTCTAGAGTTGGGAACCCTAAAGACGCTGCAAAAACACAGCCACAGCACTACAAAGAAAGCCTAGAATACTTCTTTTAAAAAAAAAAAAAAAGGGAGTAAAAAGGAAACCGGAAGGAAAAAATCCCACCAGAGAACCTAACTAACCATGTTGTCTGCCCGTAACAACAACCAAGATATATATATATATATATATATATATATATATATAATAAAAGTAAAAATCTTCTATTGTACACATGAATGACTAGCATTCTAAATGCATAGACATTATGTAGTTGGTTCCCCCTTTACAGCTATAGCAGGTCCTCTTCTGGGAAAGATTTCCACAAGATGGAGTGTTTCTGTGGACATTTTTGCCCATTCATCCAGCAGAGCATTTCTGAGGTCAGGCACTAATGTTGGATGAGAAGGCGTTGATTGTAAACTCCTTTCCAGTTCATCCCAAAGGTGTTTGATGGGGTAGGTCAGGGTTGTGTGAGTGCCAGTCTAGTTCTTTCACACCAAAATCATCCAACCATGCCTTTATTAACAGAAGCAGTCTTTTATTTGGAGTTCAGAGGAAATTACATTTCAGCACTATCTTGTGCCTTTGTCAAGTCACAGAAGCAGGATGGTCATACAAAGAAAAATCCAGCAAAGCATTGCTTTGCTCTGCCCGCCTCTAAAATCTGTTTCAGGAACCTCCAGTCCATCCTATCAGAAGCCTTGTTGTTGTTACTCAACAGCAGCATAGACTAGGATCCCTTCATGATCACACGCTGAATCAAGCCCAAGACATGCTTGGTGTTCTTGAGTGCTTGTCTAGGACTTTTCCCCTGTCCATAGAATGTCAGTTCAAGACATTCCTTTAGGCCTGCATGAGCAAGCAGTAGGGCTGTTAGGGAGGACATGGTCTGGATAGGAGCATGTGTTCTGCACCTCTCACAGTAATCTCTTCCTCGCAGTTCTAGCAATAACTAATGAGTCAGGGTATTGCCACTAGTATTCCCTGCCTGCACTGAGCAACGGATCGTCAGGGAGATAACCCTGTGATCTACACCCACCAGAGGTGAAGACTACACACACTGCCACAGGGCTAGCATGTCTCTTAGGTAAATTGGGTAGTGCCCTAAGTTGCTCATTAGGTGAAGGTGTCCAGACCACAGCAGTTGGCACAGCAGCATATTCTACCTGGGCTGCCCACCTCCTCCTCCCGTTGGTGAACAATTCTTTAAGGGGTGGTGTCAGGCGTAACAGCAGCATATGCAATTTGCATGCCAACCACGCAGTCTTAGTTTTCACTCTTGCCCCTTTTAAACACGAACCAACAAACTATTTTTTTGGCAGACATAATCTACAGATACAAGCTTTGTTGACCCACCAGTGAGTCCTAACTCCTTCTGAACAGACAATAGCCTCCTTCCTGCAAAAGGTTAAGTAGGAAGTAGTGAAAATTACAGAGCACCGTTGCACACATACAATACACACTGCCAACACTTGCCCACACATACATTACACACAGCCAGCGCACAATACTCAGACATTACACACAGCCAGTGTGCATGCACACTACACACTGTCTGCAAACTCTGAAGAAGTACAGGGAAAGAATACTGGGGGGCACAGGGTAAAACACTGTAGCAAGGGCTCTAGGTAAGGGCCCCAATCTTTCTGATGGAAGTTATTTTGGGGGGAAGGACAAGTAGAAAATGAACTACAGTTTCAGTGCTTTAGACAAGTAGGCTTTAGGTGACATCCCCCATTCATAGTGAGCAGTTTCTGAGTCTTGATATCCATCGTGTTCAGGTTATTATACCAGTTGGCTCATTGATGACTAGTAGGGGTGTATGTGTAGAAAAAGTATAGAACTAGTTCTTGCCATTGAGCT